ATAATGACGTAGTAATGGCCTGTCAGCCCGACTGTAACACTTACAACCTGCTTTATTGTTTATATTATTATAAATATGACCATAATTTACAAAACGCACATCATGTCGCATTCAAAAAATCTTAAAAACTAGCATCTGAGACCATAAGTGCATCAGGGAAAATGTTTACTGAGGTAATAAATCAAGAAAGAAGTATGGACATCAAGAGGAGTCGCCCCCTGCTGGCCATTAGAAAGAATGCAGGTTTAAACCATTTACATGTCTGCTGTAGGTTTTAAACCTAAAAGCTACATCTACCTTTTATATACATTCAGTGTTTTGCCACAGATGCGTACAAAAAGCCCTAAAATGTCCCTGTGTTATTACTGACATAATCTCACAGGGGGTGCCTCATGCTCGCCCCCACAAGAAAATGGTTCCCTGCTTCCCTACAACAGAGAAAGTCATCCATCCATCATTTATACACCGCTTAATCCTCACTAGGGTCGTGGGGGGCTGGAGCCCATCCCAGCTGACTCAGAGCGGTGCTATCTACCGCCCCACCGTGCAGCCCCAGACAAAGCCAATGAGAGAAATTATTACTAAACAGCCCAGTTGTTCTAACAGTAAAGATAACAAGTCATACAAAGAAACCAGTAGACCAAACAAAAGAGGAAGGAAACCAGCAGCAGGTGGAACTACAAAAAGGGAGCAGGAAGTAGCCAAACAATGCTGCATCTCAAAATAATGCATTTCAGTTGTTGGTACCTCTGAGCTCTGTACTTCTGTACAAAGCAGGATTTGAAGTTAGTAAGGTAGCTTCAGGTTTAACGCTGGGTTTTCAGGGCGACAGCTGCGTTTCACTTCTCGTCACTGTAACCTATGCTGAACGCCTGATATATTCAAGATAACAGATCAGTGGTTTTAAAACACTGCCTACTGACCCATCAGATCTCTCAGAAGAAAGCATCACCATTCCTGGGACAGTACGGGTTGCAAGAGGCGCACCTTCAAAACCATTTAATTGCTCTGTAGGCCTTTGTATATCCATATAATCCGAGAACAGAGACTGATAAAGTACTAAAGCCTTGCAGACTACTTCTTGACTTTATAAGATTTGCTTTAAGTCCACTTTTCAGTTCAAATGATGCTTTCATGTTTGTTCTTGATTCTTCCTAGAACTGTCGAACACCACCAAGCAACTGAAAGCTACAAAAACTACAAGCTTACGTTGCATAATGATAAATCTTGAAACCTTTATCAAAGCAAGTTGTACAAAAAAACAGCTTTCTTTCCTGGTTTTGGCTGCTGCAACACAACCAGGCAGGTGTGTCTCTCTTAGTTCTAAATTCCTCATCTTGGTTTAGGATTATAGATTGTTTTCCTGGTGAGAAATGTGTGACTCTAAACCTGCTCATGTGTGTGATTGGTCATCTAGTGACAACTCTCAATAGATTTCTTGAGTATGTTGAACTTGCTTCATAATACAGGCCTCTGTGGGGTCTTAACACATTGTCTTACTCAAAAAAAAAAAAAAGGGTGGGTTCGAGCACAGAATATACCTAACAAACATGTCAGATCAGACAGAAGTCAGTCAACCAAGGACGCAGTGTAAGGATGCATGTTAGGTGATCGGTTTAACTACAGTACATACCTGGAACACCAAACACCACGAGCCAAGACAGAAGCAACAGCCCATCTGGCCCCCCCAAAAAAACAAAAAACTAATCAAAGACCAACAGGTGTTTTATATAGTCAGGCCCTGATTGGGGAATTGACTTGGAGGAGGAGTCAGGTCTGGGGCTGCGTTCACAGATGCTGTATTCACCGACACAAGGTGAGCATTTCCCACCACAGTGAGGCCCGATCCGACATTCTGCATCCATAGACCAACACACTTTGATTCACATGTCTCCCAAGTGTGTGAAGGCATCGATGTGGTCCACTGTAGAGTAATCGAATGCATGATGTGGATTTTTCAACGCTAAGTTTATGCCCCTGTCCTGCCCCCTCCACAAAATAACCACCAACCAAAGGTGGATGGTGCAGGGAAGAAGTCCAAGCTTATCTGTAAATAACTGCATCTGGCTGGTTACTAATTGTTTGCATTTTCAGTCAAATGTGGGATTCACAGATGTTTGCAGCTGTCCTGACTTTTCATAGTTTGCTAAAATGTAGAAGCACCATCAGGTCAGAAACAGAGAAGTGATCGACTGAGCAGCTGCTCAAACTAAAAATGAAACACGAGGCATGTGCTGTTTCCAAGCAGCACATGTTGTCATGTTAATGCGTCCCATTAGACATTTTTGTACCATTTTAAGTCTTTGTGAAGTCACACACTCAAACACTGCAGCTGTGACATGAGATACGTTTTTAAGGGTTTAATGTTCAGGCCTTAGGAGTAAAACTGGACTTCAGTCATTGAATATTGCTGACTAGAAATCATATTTAAAAGTTTTGTAAATGAAATTTAAGACATTTTAATGTCCACTGAACAAGATCAATGCTTTTGTACCTTATAAAGATCTGCAAATACCCTGGATTCAATTTAACTTTGCACTTTTTAAACCTGATCTGTTGACACTCATGTTTTCCAGAAAATAAAGTCCTATTATAGAAACAGGATTCTTGCCCTTCACATTTGGCGAAGCACACCTGTATCTGTATGAAATGATGTCTCTTATGTAGGCAGGTGTCTGATGCATTTGTGATATTCTCTTTAAATGCTGTGCTCAGGCCTTTTTATTCTTTTTTTTTTTTTTTACAAGGAGCTTTTGATCAGTGAGGATAAAGTGCAGCTTTTTAAGGCAAAGCTTTCCTTTTTTTTTTTTTCTTTTTAGGTAAATCTGATTAGATAAAACAGAAATGTGGGGCAGTAATTCTCATACAGTCCCTTATTTACTGACTCAAACATCTCCCCATGCCAACACTTCCGACATTTTAAAGTGATACAGCAAAGTCATCTGTACCAGTCTGTGCAGATAATTACTGAGAAACCATCTGCGATGCAGCTCCACAATGAGCTCATGTTCCTATAAACGTCTCCCTCCGTATGATGTGGTGATTTCCCGTCTGTTGTCGTTTGCTGATACAGAGTCACAAAGTGCTTTAACACAAAACATATGACAATTCAGCAGTTTATTTTCCTGCTTGTTGCATTAAAAAAAAAAGGTGGACTATGAGGGGGAAAAAAAGTGCAACAAAATGGATGAAACATTGTGTGCCAACAGTTCATATCTTGAAGGATGAGTGCCAGAGGAATGTGAGAGGCATCAACACGTACTGAGCAAACTGCATTTCTGTGGAGCGCCACAGCACGTACATGTACCACTGCATTGCTCAGGTGCCTCAGTTGTTTGTTTGTCTTTTTAAAGGAAAATGTTAAACGTTCAAGCTGTTTTTATGACAAACTAGAATTTGAATCACAAAATTTTATTTGTTTTACTTCAAATAATTGTAACAAAAAAAACATCTAAATTGAATTTCATAATCTGAAATTAAATTGATTCAAACTTGGGTTTCAAGTGGCACATACTTTGCAAATATGCATAAGACACAACAAAAAAAGGAAATAAAAAAATAGAGACGATAAAACAAACAAGCACAAAATAATACATATAAACAAACAAAAAAAGCTTGCTCATCTGGGATTTTTATATATATATATATATATATGCAGAGTTGTATTTGTACCTTTTGGGGAGGTTTAATCCTTAATATCTGAATTACTTGGGCAAATTTAAAAAATTAATAATGCTGATTAAATGATTTAATAAGCAACAAACAAAAAAGTTTCGCAAACATTATCTGTCTGAATTAGTTTAACCTCTTTTTTTTTACATTAACTTTTCTTTTTACTCTGTTTTCGCTGTTTTTTATTTTGTTTTATTTTATTTAAAAGCTTCCTGCTTTGCTTTTTTAAATTTTCAACAAACTTTATTCACAAACAGAAAATGTACAACAACAATCAACATGTGCTTGAGAAGAGGGAGAGAGTAAAAAAGCACAAGTAAAGGAATGACGCAAAGAAAATTACAAATCATATTGCTCCCATAAGGCTAGGAGTTTCACAGCTTCAGTTTTAAAGAGTCCATATAACAGTTCAGATAGGCTCAGAACACATTAAAATTGGGGGTTCTGTTTTACAGATTTACTGGTATGTAAATGAAACTTAGTAAATAACACAAGAACGTTAATAACATATCTTTTTTCAGGAATTTGAACATTAAACATTCCGAATAAAATATGCTGAATATTAAGTGTAATACGGATATCCAGTTTTCCAAATTAAGGTCACACCCAAAGGACTTACTGTAAGCACTATCCCAAAAAAGGTAAGTTAGTGTTTCACTTTCAAGATGACAAAGAGAACACAGAGGGTGGTTATCTGGAATGTATTTCACTTTCATGACTGAATAAACAGGGTAACATCGATGTAATGTTTTTAATGATACTTCTCTGACTTTATTTGACACACAAAAAAAATCTTTGACAACAAGCAGGTTTGTTCCCAATCTATACCTGTGTACAGTTTTTTCTAAAACAACACAAAAGCAGGTCTACAATGGGTCTAACATCTGGTTTCCTAGTTAGCTTCCTGCTTCTTTTTTTTTTTTTAATTCATAATACACAAAATACAAAATAAACAATCTTACTTAAATTAACAAAAATGACAGACAAAAGCAACCATAAAAATCACATAATAAACACTAAGTGTACATACACCAAATTAAAATACAAAGAAAATCCTCAAATGGACATACAGGAATAGATCTTGCATTACAGCTTTTTATTTATTTATTTTTAGACACACTTTATGTCATCATGAGAATAACTTACCCTATTTCATTGTATTTTATTACATATTTTGATTATATCTTCATTATTCTTAGTATTTTTCTTTTTGTAGTTTTTTTAATTTTATTTTTAGCTTCCTGCTTGTCAGGCACGTCCTCAACGGCTGACCTTACGTAACCGATTACGAAACGACGTAAGGCGGAAGTATTATCGCCTTATAAGGAAGGAGGCGGCGCTCTGACCCGAGAGCCCCGGGAAGCTGCAGAGCGCGTCGTGAAGGTGAGATGACTTCCATCCGCCATACATTTATTTATTCAGCCATTCATTCATTCACACCGTAATAACTCACTTATTTGTTCAGCTGTGGCGTGTCTGCCGTAACTTCTGTCTTCCGTGAAGGCGCGACACAGCGGACACACACACAGGAGAGACGTTTAGCTAACTAGCTTATTCACTAATAATGCCGCACCATCACCTGCGCTCCTTCTGTCACATTCACCGTCAGGCTGCGGCTCAAAATCCCACAGAGGAAATATTTAGCGGTTTAATTTTTAATATTTAATTCCCGTTTGGGTCTATTTGTGTCTCTAAATTCTCTCCTAGGTAATAAATATTAAGACTTAACAGCTGCTCAGACGTGCTTTCAATTCATCCAGGAAGAGCTTTCATGTGGAGCCACATGTGGCCTCTCCCATCGTTTCCCCTTCAGCCAATTTCACCTCTAATTTACTTATTTTCAATTTACAAATCATAACAAACGCTCCTAAGCTTGTTTTGCATTTAATTCAGTCATGTCATCCACAATAATGTGACTTGATGGCATAATAGAGGAATGATGCTGCATTTTCAAGGTCCTTAATGACATTTGAGGCTCTAAAAATCGCTTTTATTAATTATTGAAGAATTTTGCTCCAGCAATTTCACTGAATTATTTCATTTCTACGTGTTATTTTATTAGTTAAATAAGTGAGAAAAAAATCCCTAATTTTATTAAGCTAAAATGCCAATATTTGTTTTTTCCAGCTTCATAAAAACCTGAGAATATTCAGCTTCTCTCTACATTTAATACATATTTTCATACATTAAATGATTGTGGAATGTGTGATGATTAGTTAATTAGATAAACTGATCATGAAAGAATTATTTGCAGCCCCTGTTATGTCTGCAAGGTGAACTAAGTGGGATATTTTACAGCTAATTAAAAAGAAAAAAACAACTTTTTATTCCCTAAAATGCCAAGATTTGTTTGTTTTGTAGCTTCTCAATACCTGAGAATATTCAGTTTTTCAGTGTTTAATATTGCGAGTCAGAAATAAATTATTTGTGATTGACGTTTTCCCACTTATGTGTGATTTTACAAGGTTTAATTAGATTAATTTGTAGTGGAAAAAGTACTTGCAGCCCTACTTGTGTCCACGATGTGTATGGAACAGGACACTTGAAAGCTGTAAAAAATAAAAAAGAAAGCACTTCACTGATTAGCTGAATGTTTAAAAAAAACATATTAATTTCTAATAATGGGACACTTATCTTGTCTTCTCTGGTTTTAGCTTCTCAGTTTTGTGAAATTATTTGTCTTTGGTGTGAAGATGATTTTGAAGACTTTCTATCAGCTAAATGTTTAATTAAAAAAGCAATAAAGAGAATAATCTGCAACAGAGTAGTTTGTTGCAGATGTGTAGTGCTCCATCTGAAATTGTGACTCCAAAATTGTGTCCTAAATAATAGAAACAGCTCTGTGTGATGCAGTTCAGCCTCAGCAATTGCACAAGACGACATGAGATCAAGCTGAATCCGCCGCCTCTCGAATGTTGTTTCAATGAAAGTCGATCACTGTAACCTTCATGAAAGGAGGATTTATTGCAGGACTCAGCCGGGACGGGATGCACCTGTCAGGCTGCCATCAGCAAGAGCACAAGGAAGTATTTCGATCCTGTGCAGACAAAAAAACCCCAAAAACTTCAGAAGTCTTTACAGAACAGAGGCGGGACATCTCAGGCTGATGTGTAATACTGTTGGCTGTTATTTCAATATCACAGTTTTCAGTTGGGGAGAGGAAACCATCACCAAGTCAGCCACATGTAGACCGTAATCGTCCAGGAAGACTCGTAGCTGTTTCCTCCTTCTACACGTGTTGCGTTGGCGCGCAACTACGAGGAAGTAGACAAAGACTGAAGTACAGACCGAGGCATCACTGGCATGTTTTGAAATGCAACAAAGCCAAAAAACAAAGTGTTGTTGTGTTTTGGGGAAACAGAAGCTGAAGGTCGCGTTTTCCTGGTATTCGTGTGTTTTGTAAGCGAAGGGCAAACCAGTTTCTGGATGTCATCTGAGACTTTACGGTAAAAACGATATCGCGTCAAGACAGGAGGCTTTTGTAGCGATGGAAAAACGCCTTCGTCATTGATGAAAAGTCATTTTTAAAAAAGCTCTAATCATGTCGTCTATAGAGCTCAGAGCACAATCATTTGATCAAGCGATGGTATAAATAGTCGCAGCTTGGTTTCCTGTTCAGCAGCTGATTAATTTAGCGTTTGCTGCAGCTGTCAAACATGTCAAACAAAAGTGAAAATAATGTCTGTCACAGTAAAAATCTGCCCAACAGTTAAACATTAAATTTACCTTCACAGGGGAAAAACATCATCCACAATTCTTTTAAAAATTGAGCTGCCTGAAGGGGTTTATTTTACTAACAAAAAAAAGACTTGATAAATTAATGATAGAAATGGTGACTGTTTACATTTTGTTCATTACCTTGTTGATTGTTTCAGCTCTACATTTGTCACAGTTTGTCAGACTAACACGTAAATATGTTGAACACTGCGTTACCGTTTCTGTATCAGGTGTTTAATGAGAAGTAAGGCTGAAATAAATTTTTTTCATTTTAATTGGGTCAATAAAATATCAGAAATTGGTGGAAAGTGTTAATTTTGTAATTCAAAATGGCATCCTCAGATGTTTGTTTTTGTTCATAACGTAAAGACGTTTATCTACAATCATCACCAGCCTTCTGCTTCACCATCTCTGATGTGCAGGAAACTTTTTTTAATGCCATAAACTATGGACATTTCAAATAGTTTTAGATTAACACCTCAGTACTTTTTGAGATACTTTATTATGCAAAAAAAAAAAAAAACAAAGTATGAAAAGTGGATCGCCAGTTTAAAAAAATATAATAATCACCTGGGAAAGTATTTTATATATCAAGCTTAAATGTCACAGATAACATAAATATGAATATTTGATGCTATAAATATATATATATATATTTTAGATAAATCAGTGATGGTTGAGCAGAAATTGTTCTCACAGTCAGATGATTAGAGATGAGTGACCTTATTTGGCTTACAGTCGTGGGGGAGTTACAAAACTGCAAAGGTGTAATCAGATAAATCAGCCTTTTTCCTTTTATAAAGTTGCTCAAACTAGTGAAACAATTATCAGGAATAGTTGACCATTAATCAAATACATAAGTTGCAACTGTAATGAGCGTTCTCTTTAACATCACACACTGATCAGAATCTAATCTCATCATGAGTCCATCTGCAGCACTGCTCAAAACACAACCACACAAGTAAAGCTTGTCAAATCCTGTATGAGTCTGTGTACAAAACACACATAGTGCAGAATACTGTATATAAAATAAGTTCATGTTTTTTTTAAGCATAGTTGGTTCAGCTTGTTTTTCTGCCTCCGGAAATGAGTGACCCTGTTTACACAGAAAAGTCTCTCCACCCTGCAAAAAACCCCGAACAGTCATCTGAATAGCAGCTCTGTTGAAATCCTCCTCACCTCACGTCCTCACCCCCTCCTTCCTCCTGCCCTCCTGCCCTGCTTTCAACTCTCCTCCTCCATGTGCTTTCTTAATTTACCGCTCACAGCCTCATCGCCTCTTTGTCTCATATTCTGTCTTCAGAAGAACAACATCGGTGATGATGGATCGAATGAGGTCGATGTTTAACGGCATGGTGAGTGCATCCAGAGTTCATAATTCACACATTCGTCACATGTTTTTGTGCCTAGAGAGGAGTTGCTAAACGGGTAGAATCAACATTAATGTCTAATGCTTCATTTTGCAGTGGCCAGTCCTGAAATAATTTGACCTTTGCAGCCTCTTGGCCGCCCTTCCTTTCATGCAGCTGCCTAATCAGGAGCGCATTGCTCTCATATTTTTTGCTCTTATCTTCTCCAGGTTAAAAGCGAGCGGTACAGCAGGTTCACTCTGCAGCAGGCGGAGGACGGAGAAAGACACGCTGAGGTCAAACTGTCAGACTGTGGCACTGATGACGCCACAGAGGCGGGAGGCTCTCCGACCTTCAGGCCAGCTCCTCTGCAAAGGAGCCACCGTACTCTCTTCTGCGTGGCCTTGGGGACCGTGGTGATATTTTTTTTTGGTAGGTTACTTTTCAACTTTCTCTTCCTGTATTCTAAATTAGACTGTTTTAGACATTGGTACGACAAGTAAGAGTTGTTCTCATTTTAGATTGAGTTGCTATTTTTTTTTTCCTGGTCTGAAATTCTATAAACTGTCAGGAAAAAAAATCCGTCCATCATCTATACACCGCTTAATCCTCACTAGGGTCGCAGGGGGCTGGAGTCTATCCCAGCTGATTCAGTGCGAACTACACTTAGAGACAGACAACCAAGCACACTCACATTCACACCTACAGACAATTTAGAATCACCTATTAACCTCAACATGTCTTTGGACTGTCTGGGAGGAAGCCAGAGAACCCGGAGAGAACCCACGCTGCACGGGGAGAACATGCAAACTCCACGCAGAAAGATCCCGGGTGTCCTCAGCGGGATGCAAACCGGCGACCTTCTTGCTGTGAGGCAACGATGCTAACCACCGTTCAGCCCAGCAAAAAAATGGCTTGTGCAATTTCTCAGATATCTGCTTTGTCTAAATTGACCAAAACTGAAAAACATTTAGTTTTTTCAGCGTAGAAAACCTTCAAGTTTTCACATTTGAGAAGCCAGTGACAGCAAAGTTTTACCTTTTATTCCCCCCCAAAAGGAAATCACTCTTAAAATAAAGGGTACTGTTACTCTGCTGGTTGCTGTTTAGGTCTTCTTTTTTATGCGAACTTTCTGTCGGCTTTCTAAGCTACACGGTATCAAGTAACAAATATTTTCATGAAAAAAAAGTCAACCAGACAGCTTTTTTTCCAGATTAAAACTTGTCACAAAGAAGTGATCAGTGCTCCTTACAAGGTCTTGCATATCTTGCTTTGTCCAAAACTATAAAGTATTTACATTTCTGTTATTTAAAAAAAAAAAAAAATCACTGAATTAAAAATGAATAAGTAATTCAAATAATTCTAATAAAGTGTAATTTTCAAATATGTTTAGAAAATATGGGAGACTTATTGTAAATAAATGAGTATTGATGAGTGAACTCCCTTTTTTTTTTTTTTTAAATTGTGTATTGAAATTAAGCGCGTCGCAATAACTGGATGTTACAAGAGAAGACTGTTTCTGTACCAGTGATGACACAGTTACAGCTTCTCTTTGCTCTACATTAAGCTGAGCAGATTCTGAGCGTTTTTCCTGCTCATGATACAAGACAGAAACGCAGATAGGAAGCTGTCGGTCATGTAGAGTCATTTAAACATGAAGAAGTGTATTTAGGTCTAACACCGTTCCATAGTGAAGAATACGTGGACATCGCTTTAGTTTTTGGTCAACTCGAAGTATAATTAATGTTGTTATTTCATATTCTCTAATAAATGCCAACAAATTAATCAGTTTTCTGATCTGGGCGAGGCAGCAGACCAGGACCGAGCATTGAAACACATTTTCTGCATCACCAGCTGAATGCGTTTAGTTTACAAAGCAACGCACGCACTTTGAATTACTGTAATTGCACGACTTCATTCAGTGGCATCTCTAACCTGCGGCTCAACAGGTTTGCAGATATAACGTTGTTCCTCAATTGAGAATCGAGAATACGATCAGAAAAACAGCACTGATGAAAAGGTGGTGGTTTTTAAATCCCAAACTCAACTTCTAAGTTCCTTTTTTTTTTAGTTATTGTAAGTGGTTGGAGCAGAAAATGTAAACGCTCTTTTTCCGTCTATGTTTGTATGCTGGGAGCAGATGGCAGATGAGCGGCTTTATATAAGTTTTTAACCAGTTTGGTGTCTGTTTGTGTTCCAGGATTTCTGATTGGCTTCATCAGCCACAGTCAACCCCAAGCGGAGCCGGTGAACTGCAGCACGACAGCTGCTCCAGTTTCTACATCTCCAGGTGCTCCAGTGACTAAACGTCCAGTTGCTCCATCTCCAGTTGCTCCAGTTGCTCCAGTTGCTCCAGAAGTTCATCTGGACTGGAAGGACATCACCCAACTCCTCACACAGAAGCTCACCAGCCAGGCCTTTGACAAGACTCTGAGGTACGTTGTCAGCTTTTAAACCACACAGGCTTGATGTCATCACACTGACGGTAAAGCTAAGAGAACAAACTACCAAATCACTGTAGCTGCAGGTGCGGTTTCCTTTCCTGTCAGGGTGGGAAAGGACTAAACACATCAATTAAATACATGAGTGTGGATCAAAGAACTTTTTGTTTACAGTGTTGAACCGTAGACGGCCGCGTTACAGTAAGTGCGGTTATGTATGAAATGACACCAAACGGGTTTAATGGGTGCGTTGGATGACGCTGAGGCAAAGAACCAGAAGTCACGCTTCCAAGGTTTCTTATTATCTCCAGCTGCCACCGACCAGATTCACTCAAACGTCAAACGCAGCTGAATTTGTAGGCAGATGAAAATAATTTAAGCTGTAATCCAGGACTGTGAAAAGTGGAAAAAAAAAAAGTTCCAGTCCTGCCTGTCTGGAACTTTATTCCATTTTCCCTTCTTCTACTTATGCAATCCAAAAAAGGTGAAAATTAATAAAAATAACATCTTCAAGTACAACACAGTGGAATTAGAATGGGGGGAAAAAAAAGATCTGGACAACATGTAAGGTTGTTGCTATGCATATATAAAGAAAAAAGATTTGATGTCACGATCAGATGTTTTAAGTAAATCTCAAATGGAGCAGAAAAATAATCGTCTTTCTAATCAATCCCTCAGTTTGTCCCTCAGTTTAGCTTTGTAGCTTAATTTGTTGTGTACTTAGCAGTATATAAAGATGACAATCACCTACAGCTAACATTATTATTATTGACATCTTTTCTTCAGCCGACCTCACTTTTATGAAGTCTAATAGTCACTGCTGACAACCTGCAGGTCACCCTCACGTTTAACCGTCCTCATGTTTTAACCCTCTGAACCCCAAATCCCACCGGTGTGTTTTAAAAGACATGTAGTCTTTGCCAACATTACAACATCAGAGCCAGGAATTGTTGCGTTTTAAACCAACAGTCCTCCAATACTCATCTGTGTTGTGGCATTCAGTTGGGGAAACAAGTCCAACTCTTAACTGTAAGCGTCAAGTTGCGATCTCAATTTAAAAATTCGTTTGCAGTAATCAGCCTACAAATAATCCAAACATCCTGCACTCCTCTGCGGCAGCCGTGAGTCATCTGTGACAAAAAGTCCGGGACTTTTTGACTCAACTGGACTGAACTGCGGGGGGAGGTAAATTGGAGATGAGTCAACCAAACAAAAAGAAAAGTAAGATATCTTTAGCATGTCCAGCCCCTATTTGTTTCAGTATTGGTAACGTCTGGGCTCACTTGGAAAACCGTTGCACCTGCTGAAGTTGTTTTTTTTTTTTTTTTAATTTTTGGAAAACAAGAAAATAAATACAACTTCTTAAACTTTTTAAAAAATAATTTATATCATTACAATTTTGCTATACGCCACAAATACAATTTTAAGTTCCATGTGCTTCTAGCAACTGTTTCCATCGAGGCTGCAGGACGTCATAGTGCAGTAAAAAAAATACAACAGTGGTAGAAAACAGCCAGACACTACGCTGGCTTCAGAGGGTTCATTCTTTTTTTTTTTTAATCGTTTGTGATATAAAAATGGCAGCGTCGACACAGTAAGAAATAAAAACAAAAAGGTGTGTCCTGGTTCTAAGCTATAGCATGCCAGCGCACCGCAAGAATGAAAGATGCTCGCTGGTGCATATTCCAGAAAAACCTTGACCGTGTTTCAGCAGGCTTCCTCATTCTGTGGTTTTGGCCTGTGGAGCAGTCAAACCAGCTGAACATGTGCAGGAGAGATTTTCTTTTTGGCTCCATGCATGCATGAAAAGAACAATTGAAAAGAGAGCATGTTAAAAAAAATAAAATAAAAAAATGAAAATCACTCCCTGGAAAGTCCTGGTTTAACTATTTTTTGGTCGCACACCGCAGCCTGCAATGTGAGGCATTTCAGGAACATCTGTGAATTGTAGAGTCTATTAATAAGTAAATGTTCTGCAGGTAATGTGTATTGCCTGTGACCAGGAAGGAGATGCGGCCAAGTAAGAAAGTTGGTGGTACCAGTGCCACCAGTGAACCAGTCAGTCTGGAGCCCTGATTTGTGTTTGTCGTATCTGGTCGTGCACAGACGTCGCTGAAAACAAAAGCAAAGTTACGCTGATGTTGCGGGATGAAAACCTCCCAAAGCTGCCTTGACGTCTCATCACTGTGAAAACACTCATTCTGAAACTCTTTTGATCGTTTAGCAAGAACATTTCTCTGTTTTCTCGAAACCCCGCAGCTGACATTTGAAACAAAGCACTTTCTGTCACTGTCGTAATGAAGCTTGTAAGTCATCTGGATTGTTGTTTTTCTCAGAAATGATTCAGCTGCAAATGAAAGAGGGTGCATGCACTAAATGGAGACAAAGCTGCGGGTGGAAATTTGTTTTTTATTTTTTTGTATCTCTGCAGGGAATTTGATCTGCCCAGACGCTCAGCGGGAAGCGATGAGGATAGGAATCAGGCAGACCACATCTTCAATGAATTCACGAAACTGGAGATGGAGCCCTGGACTGACGTTCACTACGTTCGGCTGCCGACGCCAGACAGGTTGATGCATCACATTTTTACTTTGATGTTAGGATGGTGATATAATTCCATCCATCCATTATCTATGCACCGCTTAATCCTCACTAAGTTTGCGGGGGGGCTGGAGTCTATCCCAGCTGACTCAGGGCGAACTACACTTAGAGACAGACAACCAAGCACACTCACATTCACACCTACAGACAATTTAGAATCACCAATTAACCTCAACATGTTTTTGGACTGTGTGGGAGGAAACTGGAGAACCCGGAGAGAACCCACGCTGCACGGGGAGAACATGGAGACTCCACACAAAAAGATTCCGGTGCCCCCACCGGGACACGAACCGGCAACCTTCTTGCTGCGAGGCAACAGTGCTACCAACTGCACCAGATATAATTCTTTCAAAATATTTCTTTTGCAGTATTTTAGAAGGGAGGTATTTGCTGATTACATCCTTCATTAATGGGAAATTCAGTTCATCATCTCACACATCATCATCATCGCCATCTTCCATCCCGAGTCTCATTCAATTCTCATCAATCCTTTAAATATTTGACTTGTAATTTCCTCATAGGTTTTTATGAATTTCCTCAGACATTTTATTGCAATTAAAAGTTCTCGATATGAGAATGGAAATGGAGACGCGTATAAATAACAAATGAGAACAATATTAAACCAGCATGAAGTTTCCTCGAAATGGTAAAACCAGTGTTTACTTTGGTGTTGATGGAGCACTACAATATGTACTAGATTACACCCTGAAGCTTTCCTGGAAACTCACTCGGGAGTAGTGAGAATAAATCATTACCGAGCTGTAAAACGATACCAACGTTATATTTTAACCGATTTGTGTCCTTTCCTTTGCAGCAAGCATCCAAACCGTGTTGTGTTTGATTCTCTGAACTGTACGCCAACGGGGTATCTGGCCTACAGTCCTGCTGGCAGAGTTCAGGTTAGTCAAAAGTTTAAATGTCTTTTTTTTTTTTTAGATTTAATTACCAGGAGCTGTATTCACAAATTACAATGCCACTGGGAGAAACAGAGCTTGATGCTGTGATGAAATTGGACTATTTTGACTGTAGAAAAAGCTTTCTTCAGAGCTTTTTACTTAATTTTACAGTTCACAGTGTGCGTATTAGTATATTAATCAACTGCAATAAATAAATATAGGATTAAGCTGATTTTAATTTCCGTTGCTAGATTAAAACTGTTGCGACATGCAGAATTACATCAGTAAATGATAAGGATTTTCTCTCTTTTCTTAGCTTAGGCCTCTCAGTTGAGTCTTTTTTTGGGCTGTTTGAGATGTGAGTGGACAGAAATGTGGTTTGGCCGTTACTCATAAAGGATCAGGATACCAAATTAAGCCGACACCCCTCGGTCTCACAAAATGTTTTCATGCAGTAAACGTACTCCATCATTGTTGGCGCATCATATTAAGGGGCCTTTAAATAGGAGCTCTCCTAGCGGTCAGATGACTTTGTGGATGCAGCTCCAGAGTTTAAGAGACATTATTTCCTCTTTCTTAACGAATCAGTTGAACGGAGCTGCTTGTCTGACTCCTGCTCGTATTTGTGTTCACAGGGCAAGCTGGTGTATGGAAACTACGGCCGACCAGAGGATCTGGCGGTTGTGCAGAATAAGAGCGTCGAACTGAACAGCTCTGTGCTGCTGCTACGTGCTGGGAAAATCAGTTTTGCAGAGCAGGTTTGTGTGTTTGTGGATGTTGTGACACAAGGTGCAGGGTGGCGTGGTGAAGCATGAGGAGCACAAATCATTATGCTGGCAGGAAGAATGTAATCTAGTATGCAGGGACAGCTTTCAATTAGTTACAGTGAGGTAACGAGGGAACAGCAAATGCATTTTCTTAATTTCTAAAAGCCAATGATGGATCAACATTTCAGCTCAAGTGCTGTACTAATGTTAATACCAAATCTGACAACCTGCCTGCTCACACGACACATCAAGTCCTGCTTCAGAAGACGCTTACGTCCTAAGCAAGAGCAAACCGTGGCCTCTTCAAAGGAGTTTGACAGGAGATATGTGAACTCTCTGAACCTCAAGCAGTTTCTGGGTGTTTCACTTTCCTGTCCCATTTTTACTCTCCTTGGGCTCCTGTTTTTAACTGCAGTATAAAGTCCTGCATCTCTCTATAACAGGGGTGTCGAACTCCGGTCCTCGAGGGCCACAATCCTGCAAGTTTTAGATGTTTCCTTCTTCTAACACACCTGATTCAAATGATCAGCTCATCATCAAGCTCTGCAGAAGCCTGATAACGATCCTGATCATTTGAATCAGGTGTGTTGGAAGAAGGAAACATCTAAAACTTGCAGGATTGCGGCCCTCGAGGACCGGAGTTCGAGACCCCTGCTCTATAATAACACCACAACCATGGCTAGAAGTAAAAAGTCTTCAACCTGTCTTCAGTGCAGTATAACAAAATTAAAGAAATGTTTTTCCAATGCAAGAGAAAAGTGGCTTCTATGTACTGTAGATATTTTGCTAATTAGGCTTTTCATTTGTTCCATGCACGTCCTATCTGCTCTGCGTAAACACAGCCTGTAGTTCAATCTAGTGCAGTTGAAAACTCCCTCAGTTTTGGTCAAGTTGGTCGCAGCGGAGTCAGTAACGACTTCTCGGTTGGAGCAAGGATAGCAGTTCAAACAAACTGTTTTTATTTTTGGCTTTTCATGGTTGGAAAGTTGAAAATCTGAAGATTATTTTCTGTTTTAACAGTCAAATTTTTTATTGCTTTTTAAAAAAATAATAAGATGCCTTTCAAACCTGCTGGTGGGGGAGTTAATCAGCTGGTTTTCAATCAAGAACCTGAAGCTTATTTTTGTGTTCTGATGTCTCTTTAGGTGGATAATGCTGCACAGAAGGGCGTCGCTGCTGTTCTAATCTACCCTGATTCTCAAGATTACACTTACCGATCAGACACCGAGCTCTACGGACATGTGAGTTTGTAGCATGTTAAAAGCAAATAAACCGAGCAGCTGGTGAACTCTTGTTTTGTAACCGCTTATTTGTAATTTATTTGTGATTTATTTCGGTTTTCGTGTCCCCTTCAGGTCCATCTGGGCTCCGGCGACCCCTACACTCCTGGATTCCCCTCCTTCAACCATACCCAGTTCCCACCAACCAAGTCGTGCGGTCTTCCCAAAATTCCTGCCCAGACTATCAGCGCCAACGTGGCTAAAACTCTCCTACAGTAAGACACCAGCACACAAACACAGATAAACAACCTTTTACAGATAGTTGTGAAAAGGTCGCATATAAAAAAAAAGCTTTACCCACAATGAGACTGTGGTTGGAAAATGTGTTTAAATGCACCCTTAATATCTACATTCACTTTGGGCTGGAAGCTTGCTGAGGAACTTTTTGTCTTTATTTGTGGAGATCTAAGTTTAAAGAGTTTGTATTTGTCTTGTAATTTGTCTTTTTGTTATAAGCACAAATCACAGAATTTGCTAGCAATCCAAAGACCCAAAGTTGGACCGAATAATTCCAATTTGGCTTTTATTGCTGCACTGTATAATCCAGTTTTGTTATTTTCACAGTTTTTTCCCCCCACAACAGAATCAAATCTTTACGTATTTCTTTTGGAAATTATACATTTATTCACTCAGCTTTGCTCACAGCTGTCCACTGCGGTAAAATTCTCCGTCTGTCCTCCTCTAGGAAAATCGGTGGTCCTGAACCAGACGCAAGCAGCGGTTTTAAAGGCAGCCTCTTGAAGGAGCCTTACACGCTGGGGGGCAGCAAGAACATCGCTGTCGAGGTGCACAACTTGACGGACGACAAGGAGATCCACAATGTGTTCGGAGTGATCAAGGGATTCACCGATCCTGGTAGGACCAAACTCTGATTTACAACGAGATTATTTTTTCATCATCTAAGACGTGTGGTGCTAAGCTGCATTTGTGCATGAAACCGCAGATCGCTACGTTGTCCTGGGAGCTCAGAGAGACGCCTGGGGGGCAGGTTACACCAAAGCGACTGTTGGCACTGCCATACTGATGGAGCTGGCCAAGGCGGTCCACAAGATGGTGGAGGAAGGTAAGAAATGTCAAGCTACAGAGGCAGAGAGGCCAAAACACAAAATACAGGAGAGACAAGTTGGAGATATGTTGCTTTGTGCATCATGGGAAGTCTCCCTTGCAGCCTGGGCTTAAAGCAGCACAACTTAAGGATGGATTAGGGTCACCTAAGCAAGCACTAAATATATACCTTTAACCATTAGCTTCATGTGTTTACGATGCACTTGAAGTTTCACTGATTTGTTTCATCTGGCTTCATAGGTGAAGTGCAATTATTAACATGCTGCATGACTGGACTGCTGCATATTTAAGTTACACAGTTATTTATTATTTCTGTTTAACTGTATTCATATGTTATGCTGCTAAGGAAAAGCTGTCAGACTACTTTATTGTGTTTTTATATGCAATATAAACAATTAAGGGTCCATTCTATTTTAGATAAATATAGCAAGGTGTCATCTACATAGCATTTGACATGTGTGCAGTGCTTCTAAAAAATAATGCCCAATTGAAATATGTGTGAGGATGACGTGTATGTGTGAGGAACTCCCTGACTAAGTTTGGCTGCGTGAATCAAAGATACCAGATATTAATGGACTTGGATTGGTCAAAAAAAAAGTTATAGGAGATCTTTAATTTGCACTGTTAGTAGCAGAGTGGTAGAATGCTGTTATCATGGTGTTAAGTTAGTGTGTGTCTCCCATAGATGGGTTCAGGCCCAGGAGAAGCATTGTGTTTGCGAGCTGGAGTGCCGGAGAGTACGGAAGTGTTGGTGCTACCGAGTGGCTGGAGGTGAGATTACAAAAAACATTGTTTTAAGAAGAAAATACCCGCTGCATTGCAAATATGCTCTAATACGTCTGTTTTGTTTTTTTTAGGCCCACATGTCCTCTGCCGACAAGAATGTTTTTACCTACATAAGCCTGGATGGAGTGGTCATGGGTAGGTACAGAAACAAATATACTAATAATTGTACTCTAATGGTTAAAACTCTCCTCTGACTTAATGTTTCTTTATTTGTCACAAGGCCGCGGGAGCTTCATGGCCTCAGCGAGTCCGCTGCTCTACAGCCTCCTGGGGAACACGATGAAGGAGGTACGACGACACTTCATGGTGATCTAGTTCTTGCACAAACCAGCCGAGTTCGTACTGACTGTAATTTGTCGTTGTGTTTACAGGTGAAGAGTCCTGTGGATTCTGGCAGCATGTATGATGTGATGGGAAAGGATAAGTGGGAGGCCAAAGTGTAAGTAGGAAACCATTATTAAAGCCAACACATGTTCGGATAAATGAGGCTCATGTATGAAACTCAAACAAGAGGGGGCGCTTGCTTCTATTTTAGTCGGGTGAATGAAAAATGTTGGCAAAATTGTCGACTCTTATGGCTTTTTATTTAGCTTTTGTGTGCGTCTTTTAAGGAATGAAGCTTCTCAAAGTGAGCCACTAATGGTAAATGTAAAATGAAAAAAGTTTTAGTGCTGCTACAAACTTACATGATGAAAGTTTGTCTAAATACAAACATCCTTACAAGAACTTTGCTCTGGTAAAATGATCTCAGACTGGCAAAATAAAGATTTCCTGTCAAAGAAAACATTTAACGCTAGCTCTTGTATCTTCAGTTGTCAAGTGATGCATTTCAGCTGCTGCCAGTAAATGCAGAGATTTGATTTCAGGCCTACAGAAGTGCTTTGAGCCATTGTTTTTTCTGTAGCAAGGTGTTCTTGGACATTTTGTTGCTCATAACTGCTATAACCTCACGTTTTCCTGCGTGCAGACTGAGGCCGATGTCGATGGACGACCCCGCCTATCCCTTCCTGGCTTTCTCTGGAATCCCCTCCGTCTCCTTCCACTTCATCTCTCTTGACGTGAGTCTTCAAGCGTAATCGTCAACTTTGTTAGCGTTTTCCAGACATGCCTACCTTTGTTGTGTGTGTTTAGTAAACGGAATATTTTGAGGGTTTGGAAATTTCGGTCTCATAAAACACAACATTTTTTTTTTCAGACTGTGATGAATTTCAATAGGAGTTGAGAAAATAATGATCAAATTATTCAATGATTAAAATAAAATACACTATACATTTCTATTTTTATTTAATTAATTACCGTACCAAATTAATTTAAGTATTAAAACTCAAATTAATGGCAATGCTTAACCTGATCAATACAAATGTGACTAGCTCTGATAAATGGGAGTACAAAGCAGCGATCTGACATTTCCTTCTCTGTAACTGAAGAGCAAAGCTAGAACAAGTCATTCAGATCAAATTACGGAGATTTACGGCAGACCGCTATCTTTTATGGAGTCAGCATTGAGAAAATGGGGGAAAAAGAATACCGCTTGCCGGAAAAGGTTTTTTTTTTTCTTTTTCGTTATCACTCTATCCGTTTTGTTCAGACATGTAGTCGGCTGCCAGTATGAGGCCTTAAACAGACTTCAGCTCGTCCAGAATGAGACTCCAGCTGAGTTTAAAATGTCCACACAACACCAATTATCGTAACATGCACAACACACTGTACTGGTTCCCTGCAGAAGCTCACTGTGATTTACTTTAAACCCCATCAGTTCTCTGACTAGCTTTAAGATACACATAAGGATCGTCCAGTTTCAACGCATCATCAGATTGCAACAGTTAGAGAATTTGCAGATTTATAATTCATACATCTCTGCTCAACTCCACAACTGACCGTACGTAAAGCAGCTTTGATAGCCTACATTTATTGTGACAAAAAATATTATTTTAGCGCTACCTTCAGTTCTGGTTTATTAAGCAACTTTGTGTACTTGCTCATATATGCGTTTATGGCAGTGGTGGCTAGAGAACATTTTTGGTCGACGGGCGCAGTCTACAAATGACCCGCTGGTTTATGGTGTGTTTTGTTGTGGGCTCCAGAACGACCAACTTGATTATTATCCATATTCACCCACAAGAAGTTAACATCTGTATGTTAGCGTGGACACAGGCCTCCTGTGTGCAGAATCATCACAATAAAATGACCGATGTTGCAAAGCGTTTAAATGTACAGTTATTTTAAATTGTTTTCACGTCAATGCATATTTCAAAAAGTAATAGAAATTAGTTTGTTTTCAAGATATTCTACAGATAATTGTGTTACATCATCCTGATCAGTCAAGAATATATAAAGAAAAAAACAGTTTAAGCTGAAAGTAATAAAAAATACCGATTGTTGATGATGATGATGTTTAATTATCTGGCAACTTAAAGTAACAGCTAGAACTTAAAATGCAAAATAATCACTCAACCTTCGACCAACCATAATGATGCTGACCTCTATCACACCTCGTTCTTTGGTGCTTGTTATCATTATTGGTCTTTAAACTGAATTATCTTCATTTTTTACTGTTTAAAGTCTGAGTACTACCCTTACTACGGCACCAACCTGGACACGTCGGATCACCTCAGCTTCCAAACCAACCATCACACCAGCGAGATGGTGGCGACGGCGGCGCAGTTTGCCGGCCAGATGGCTCTGCGGCTGGTCCACGACCACCTGCTGAGTCTGGACGTGAGCCGGTACAGGGGCCTCCTCACCAAGACAGTGTCCACAGTCTACAGACGCGTCAGCAAGCTCTCACAGGTTCTCTCTCCTGCTTTTCCTGCTCTGGTTTGGGTTCATTTGTTTAAGTTTGAACCACAAATGTATTTATTTTGATGTCGTTATGACTTTTATTTTGTAGGATGGTCAGCTACAGGATGTGAATCCCACCTGGCTGTCCAGGGCACGAGGATCCTTTGAACGAGCTGCCAACAGCATCACAAACGCCGTTAAGAACACCGACTTAAACGACCAGGAGGCCTGTCGGATCCTCAACAACAGGATCATGAGGGTAACACGCATACCGCCACACTTGTGTTGTGCAGTCACATGAGTTTTTTAACGATTTCTTCATTAAATTCAACTGTTCGAGTGGATGCTGATGGCAGCGCTGCCCTGTGGCGATGTTTCAGGGGCGATACTTTAACCAATACCACACTGTATAAAGCAGTTTAGGAATAATATATGAACAAACATCTCCTTTACAACCTTCAGAATATAGATAGGAATAAAATTGGAAAGTGTTGTGTATGTCAGTGTTCCCCTGAGGTCAAGATTTGTGGCTCAGAACATGAGAACAGACGGGAGCCTTTAAAGATTTGTGTTCTACAGATGCAAATGGGGGGAAAAGGCAATAAAAGAAACACCTAAAGGGTATTTTAGATGTTTGCTTTCCATTAGTCAAAAAAAAAAGGACGTTTAGCTGTAGTGTCTCAGCGTAAAACACACTCTCCCTTCATTCAGCAAACTGTACGTGTTTCTTTAGTCGTTACGAGGTGCATATTTTCAGTTTTTAAGACATTTGGTGTGCTGTGCAGCCTCGCTTATGTAAGTTTGTTAATCCTCAGTCTGCTTCCACTCTCCTCGTGACTCACCAGTTGTGCTACACCTGAAGCTACAGTGTGCGATTTAGATGATATAAAACATCTCTGGCCTAAAAAAAACAAGTTCTCCCCTGTGGTAAAATCATTGTCAAAAGGCAGCTCATGTGAACAGGCTGAGCTTTGGTTCTAAACACTGCGTTGAAGTCGCTGCATCAGGGCGCTGAGCTGACGAACAGGACGGTCTGTTTACACCAAAGATTAAAACTCTACGCAAATGTTCTGCATTGTTCAACAAGGTTCAGGCACTCTTCATCTCATTTTGTTTCTCATGGTTATTCTTGCAGCACATACATTTGGACGCTGGTAATGACTCCTAGAGCATGACTCATTCTTTCCAAATGTGATAATTTTAAGTTTAGATATTTTACATGTGGATAGGATTCTTGTTTACAAGCAGTCAAGGATGCACATGCAGCAGAGAGGGAAGAAGCCCCAAGGCTTGGTGCATTTCAAAATACTGAACATGTTCATATATAAACCCAACAACTTTCTAGAAACCTGTAAAACGACTATTTAGAGGTGAATCTGTGAGCAAGACGCATCCTGGCACTTGTTTAAAAATGTTACCATATGTCAACTTTAAGAGACATTCGTGAGTTTTGGCTCACTGTTACGACACATTGCAGTGAGAAACGGCAGCTAGTGGCACAGAACCTTACCTCTAGTGGTAGAAAGAAATAAACGGTTGCATTAGGTCAAACACTCCCTGACTACTGAAGCCCTCCTTAACACATGTTTAGTTTATGAAACTCCTGCTGTATGACTGCTGCAAAAATGACCTGTTTAGATATTTGTAACAAGTCCTTTTGTCTTACTCAATGTATGCCAGATGCATTAATTCAAACATTGATCACGAAAAGACACCATAAACACCTGTTTGTTTTCTTTGCATGTAAGATGCACCATGCTGATGTACTGCAAAGTGTCACTCTGCACCTTTATCAGCAGTTCCACAGACTTCAAACTGAGCAACGTGTTGACAGCCAAACCTGACTGATGCTCACGCTGTAAACTCTCAAACACACAGTGTGAGCCGTCTTACCTTAAATCCGGCACATATTCCTGCAGCCTTCAGAAAATCCAGAGCTCCGACCAGGTGACTGGAGTTAGCAGCTAATTAGCTACTAAAATGAATATTTCCCACCCAGCGCTTTGCGTTCCTGTCAAAAACATAAATAAATCAACCTGCAGATCTTCTCATGAGCTCTCCGGTTTCTTTCTCACTCATGACGTCACCTACAAGTCTGTTGTTTTATTTACTTTTTAATCAGGAAATATGATTAACAGTATAGACTGCTACATTTTAATGATGGAAAACTTGTAACCAGCTCCACTATTTAACAAGACGAAGAATGGTTGTAGTTTGAAATCATGTCAGTGCTGATGTGAAAGCTGAACTTCTGCACCAAAACTATACTTTTTATTTTATTTTATTTGTTATCTCAATAAGTCACAATGTTACATGCAGTGCAAACACTAGCGGGTATTATTTTTGTAGTATTTATTTTAAAACTTTATGACCAAAAAGTAAAGCACAAATCAGTGCTGAGTTATGTGAACTGATTTGTTTTCTTGACTTTTTTCTGTTGCTGTTTTTCCTTTTCTTGAATACATGTTGCTCTGTTCCTCTTCGTTGTATTCATGAGCGTCAACACCAGCAGGGCAGGTTCTTTGCATATTGTACTAATATAAACAGATTTTAATTCTGCTGCGGTTGGATTTCAAGTGGACATATCCAACCAGTGAGCTCTGTAATATGCTAAATAGTGCTCTAATAATAACTGCAGCATGAGTCACTCATTTGCAGCAAGTACTGTGTGAATATTTCTCTCTTTTGGTGTTTTTGTGAACCTGCAGTAAAGGAGAGTTGATCCTACCCAGTTAGTAAATCATCTTCTTGTCTTTTTGCTTCAGATTGAGCACACCCTCCTCTCTCCATACGTGTCCCCCGTCAACACTCCCTTCCGCCACATCCTGCTTGGCCGAGGCCCCCACACTTTGGCATCCATCGCCGAGACCCCCGACATGAAGGAGCTCCGCACCCAGCTGGCGTTGGCCACCTGGAGCCTGCAGGGATGCGCCAACGCCATGGTGGGCAACATCTGGGACCTGGACAACCAAATCTAAAGCGGGCCGCAGAGATGAGAGCGTGGGAGTCGTGCGTTGGTGTGTGTGTGTGTGTGAGTGTGTTTGAAAAGAAACTTCGAGGTAAATTGTCGAGCTCCAACCTTAAGCACAAGCTGTCCGTCAGAGGTCCCATCCTTTAAATACATTCAGTTTTTGAGGGGGAATGCTACTCTTCAAGATCAAGGAGGAGATAAAGTATTGAATTTTAAAGTTTAAAAACTGTGAGATTAAAAAAAAAAAAGCATCAAATACTTGAAGACATCACATGCTACTGACAAATCCGCCTTTTCTCCTCCTCCTGCTACACCTCAAACCAGTCGAAGCCTTTGCTGCGACCCGTTGCCATCAAAGCACTGAGAAACCTTATTTATAACTTACTTTTTTTTTTTTTTTTATCAGTGGCAGTGCCCACTATAAAGTTATAGTTTGTCTTTTTATACGACGTTATCGGAAGCAGTGCCTTCCATAATTATGACGGTTATACTGTCGAAACCTACGGCGGCAGCATCTGCTACAGAAAGACTCCTCAACTGTTGCTGACAAAATGGAGCCTCAGATAAAATTCGATTCGTGTCCTCCTGGCCTTTATTTCTTCCTTTTGTGTGGAGCTGTATCGCAACGCTTTCGTCAAAAGGCAGAAATAGAGGGTTGAATAGTTTAATATATATAGCCAATTGGCATTTCAATTGATTTGCCCGAAACCAGACTAGAAACAACAAGACAACTGTCTGGTTGCTGCAGCAAACTGTTTATTTATCACAAACAAAGAGATAAAATACTGAATTTTATTTCTGCTTTTGATGGCAAGGTGATTGCTGAATTTAAGAAAAGCAATGCAGAACTTCCAGTATGATATCGACCCTCCCACCTTTCTGGCGCAGTAAACTGAGCTGATTGGATGCATAATTTGCAAGAAAGCCATTTATGTTGCACAGTCTACTTTGGAGCAGCGAGTAATATGAAAACGTTATCGGGAGCAGTGCCTTCCATAATTTAAAAAAAACCCCATTATCGGGAGCAGTGCCTTCCATAATGCTGAACAGTTGACGGTAGATTTTGCCTACCATTGTGTGTGTTTTTTGTACATGTGTATTTATCGAGAGCAGTGTCTCTCATATTTCACTTGAAGGTGGAACAACTTATCGGGGACAGTGTTTCCCAGAGTTTTATACTTGACATATTTATTTGTTTTATTTTTGGATTATGTGTGTGTGTGTGTGTAGGCACAGACATCCCCAGTGCATCCACTTCTGGTTTCTTTAGTTTTTTTTGTGTGTGTGTTTAAATTCCTGATCCATGGTGTAATCATAATAATGAAAACATAACAGAAATCTATCCAGGCGATGTTTTAATTATCAGGAAGTGACAGTTTGAGGTCTGTAACAGCCAGAAATGTCCTGTTGTGGCCATGGAAGAATTGAAATTGACTTCTGACACTCATCACTCTCACAGACATGAACCACATGGTACTCAGTGTTACTGCCGCTTTGTCATATTAGTCCGTCATGAATAAACCGCCACAAATCACACAAGTTAGACGTTGCCTGTAAATCATCACTTTTTTTTTTTTTTTTTTAGCTTTTCTGCAGTCTGAAAGAGTCCAGGGATGTTGTCTTTATGTTTCTGGGTACATTATAGTCAGGAGTCGCTAATGGCTAATTCAGCATACTTTTAATGGCCAAGTTGCCAAAATGTGTTTAAATCCAGTATGCTGATGTTTCTTTTTGATTTCAAGCTTCATATGTTTTCTGTTTCTACATATACATTAAGCTTCATCGTTTCTGCCTACTGCACTGTCATTCAATCAGATATCTACCTTAGAGCAGCCCACTGGATGAGCTTCTACACAGAGTGGCTGTTTTTCTGTCGATATATTCGTTTCCATGAGATTATCAGAAACTCTTTCGCTTTACACTGAGCTGATTTTAATTACATCAGTTCAAGCAGCTCTAAAAAAAAAAAATCTACTTATACACAGATGCACCTTCAGACCTGGATTTAAGCTACATTAGGAGCAGTTATAGTTTACTGACCAACAGACGAAGATCGCTTCTATAATTGGAGGAATTAAAATCACTGACCTCCCTCAGAGAAATCCATGTGGCATAAGATTTCAGTTTTGTTTACATCCCGTCTGAACAAACCAACGTATTTCAATGCACTGAATTCATGATAGTCAGCGACAAATCTGTTTGCCTCGATACCTCGAACTCTCCTCGTGGGTCAGTGACTTTAAATCCAGTCCAGATGCAGCTTTAGATTCCAGTTTTGTTTCGCATCTGATCCAACACACTGAAGGGTCTTTAAATGCACTGAATTCATGATAGTTAACAAACCTTACCTCCAGACTTCTCTGTGTGTTACTGACTACATAAACGCCACACGTGCTGCACAACACAGGAATTTGCTCCACAAGCTGCAACCCTCTTGCATGCGTTTCTTCCTCACTGCATGTTTCTGAAGCGTAGTTCAGACTTGGACCATGTTATTAAGGTTTCACATATGAATTAGGGTTGTTTGTTTTGTTGATCATACCAGATATTTTAACCATTTCTTCCCATTAAAGTTGGTGTTTTTTTCCCCCCAGAATTGTATTACCAGACCTCTGGAACAGAATTAAAGAAACTCAAAAGTTTAAAAAAAAATAAAAAATGTCGTAAAAAAGCAATTTCTATTCAGAAGTTCTAATTGGTAGCAAAACATGTTAAAGGAACATTATCTGTTAAACTCAGTAACTAGCAATGATTCAATAAGAGTGTTCAAACTGATTTTGCTTCCTTGGGACAGTTCAACTTGTTACTATTATGTTTACCTTTGTTCATGTCTCATAAAAAAAATTGGAAGAAATTTCTCTGAATCCTACGCTAGAAGTCAGGTTGCTAGGAAATGCGTTTCCATTCACTGTGTTGCTTTAAACCAACTGTTTAGTCTGAATTCTGTACTCCAGAAGTTATGAGATTCTGTTTGTGATTTCCATGTTCAACAGAAAAGTGTAATAAACCCTTTGGCTTAGCATCCAGCGCATCTCTGGTCGTAGTTTTTATCAAAGCCATAAAGAAGCACACACGGGGCGTTTGGGTGTTTTTCAGCATTCTTGTCTAAATCCTTAAGTTTTTTGGGGGGTTACAGCAGACTTCAAGGTCAGGAGGACTTTATTCATCCTCATCGCTCGTAGCAGAATGCTCGTACACAGACAAAATGAATAGCAAGGGCTTAAACCTGTTGGTAGGAAAATGTCAAACATGAACTTTTACAAATGTCTTCTAAACAGAATGCTTATTCTTTTGGCGCAGCAGCAAATCTAGGCTGAAAAGTCAACCTGGAAAAAGTTACATACCCTTAGCTGAAGGTCATAATGTGTATTGCAAGTATTTTATTTATTTTTGTTCCAAGCAATTGTAAACACTTCCTATGGCTAATATTAACAGTAAAGAAAATGGGCACAGGTGTATTGTTATAAAACGACACAGAGGCTAATTTTGTTACTTAAGCATAACTGTAAGCCACTTCTTTTGATTTTCTCAGACCAGTAATGTGATTTCCATGAAAATTGACATTTTTTTAATTGTATTTGTAGTATAACCAGAGCAACTAGATGATATATTTTTATTTTGATTATTTTATTTACATTATATTTTTAATTACTATATTAAATAAGAGACCAACAACATAGACAAGACATTTAATTATTATTTTTTTATCTGATATGACAAAATTATCCGCGCTTTTATTTTGAAGCCCGCACCTCCGCGCATGAAAGCGCCTTTATTTTGGCGGCTACGTCAGCAGCGTGACGCACCGTGACGCTCAGAAATCCCGGCACGCGCACTGGGGAGTTTACCGGAGGAGAGAGAACGAGGGATAACGGGTCCGGTGCAATTTTAACCGACTGAAAGCGGCGCGGTTTCTCTCCGCCGGGTTGCACACGGCGGAGAGCGGCGGGAGGAGCGACCGCTGACCGGAGGAGGACCACGGACGGGAGGAAGAGCGACCGTTACCCCGGCGGAGCCCGTCTTCCTCCTCTTCTCCTGTAGGTCGGTGCGCTGAAGGGGTCAGTTTGTTTGTCGCTCTGTGTGCTGGAAATGCGACATGTTGCACCAAAAAAAAACAACACAATAAATTATAAATGGAGGTAAATAATGGCGGAAAAAGTTTGAAGTGGTGATGGGACAGACGGGCAGGTGTCCGGCTAACGTGACCGAGGAGAGCTAATCAGCTTTACGGCGACTCTGAAGATCAATTAAACCCTCAACTGCTGTATTAATCATCTGTGTTTACTAACGGCTGCGTGTTTGACAATATTTATTTCCTGCTCAATTTTATACAATAATACATGAGAAAATCTCCCTATTTCAGAATTCGCTCTCTCTCTCAGTCCACATTTACTCCGTCCGTATTTACTAATTCACTAATTAGCCAGTGTTAACAGTCCAGCAATGGCTGCTGAGAAACTACCACATATTTATAGTAAGGTTACAAACGATGCTATCAAGTTGCATGATGGGAAGTGTAGGACAGCTATTGTGAACCCGCTGACAGAGCGCGTTAATTAGGAACACCTGCACACCTGCTTCTTCAATTGAGTGTCTGCATTGCAATACAGGACATCCTGCAAAATCTGGAATCCATGAAGGATAAATAGGATTGAATTGAATAAATAAATCTGTAAAACAATAACAACTAAACGTGTGATTGGCCTCTTTAAATATAGTGAATTGGACAGTCACATTATTTAAAAAAAACTAATTGCTTTGCAGTTTTTGGATGTGGATGTAATGCACGTACTTGGCCTGTTGTTTTTTATTGTTTGTTTTTTACAGGCAGCAGTTGTTTTTCTGTGATTTTACAAAATATAACAAGTTGCTGCTTTTTAGGGGAACGTGCAGTACAGTTTTCCTGTTCGTCATGTATGAAATGCCTCATAGACATACATTAAAAAGACTTAGCACTTAAGCTGGATACGGACTATAATTAAAAATTAGTGCTATTCTTATATAACCTGTTGATTATTTTCAGAATTACTTGATGTTGCTGATCGGTCTATAAAATATCAGAAAATTGTGTCTGTGAAGACTCTCAGTCATCCAGGTCATGGTTATTCTCGTAGTTTAAATCATAGCAACTGGACTTGCTTGAGTTTCTTGAAGACGTTTCACCTCTCATCCAAGTTTGTTTTGTTGGAGGAGCAACAAACTCCCAATTGAAACCGAAACTCAAGTGTTAATGGCTCCTTAAGGATATAAGTATCTCCCAACTAGTCAGTCAGAACTGCTGAAGCCTCTATGATGAGGGATGAAACGTCTTCAAGGAACTCAAGCAAGTCCAGTTGCTACGATTAAATTATGAGAATAGTCATAAAATTGTGAAAACTATTTATCCGTGAAACCCAAGATAACCAATGATCTTGTTTTGTCCACTAATCTGTTGGTTGTTGCATCTCTAACATGGGTTTTTTTGTGCTCTGAGACTTGATTTGGACTCAGCAGGTCTGTCTGAGCCTCCCTGTGGTGACAATATGGGTCCGGCTCGGCCTGCTGTGTTCGCTGTCACCGTCGCAGCTACGAGTTATTCAGCTGCTTTCTATGTAGCAGCAGATGGAACTTGTTTCTTGAAAATATGGTCGTGCTGACTCTCTGTCTTGGTTTCAATGTGTGTAGGTGTGAAGCCCGTCCATCCATGGCCGAATCCAGGTGACCTTAAGCGCTCTTGACTGCAGCTGATCTGACCTCTGCAGGGTAAGAACTGACCTCTGCATGTACATACATACACTGTGACCCTTCGCAGCTGAAGCCAATTGTGAAATTGCCGCATGTCGAGGTTTGAGAGACTGTAAGTGATCCAGCTGGATCTGCAGGAAGCTTCAACTCACAACTTCCAGATCTCAAAAGATGTGTTGTTAACATGCAAAGAGCCAGCAGCGTATTAGTAAGGTGGTCATAATCTTTTATACAGCATCTGTTCCCACTTAATCTATCAACGAAAACAAAACAGAGCAAAATCGATGTTTTTCTGCGAGTAGAGGTGTTTAAAATGAGAGGAAATAATAAGAAAAGGAGCTGAGAGTTGTTGTGTGTGATCTTTGTTTTGAGAAATGCTGACTTAAATTACCACTAGCATGAACTGGAGATTGGCGATTGTCTTCAGCATGGTTTAAAAATGCATTATAGTTAAGTTAACAATACTTTTAGAGTAAAAAAAAACAACCATTAGCTCCTCAAACAGCAATCAGTCTACAAACATCTTACTCTGCAAAATCCCCTCTGGTGGCCTGCTTGAGTGTTGACTGTGGCTCAGCAGGTTATTCTGAGAGTACACAGTGATCTCTGGCTGACACAGTTATGCTTTGCTGCTTTCAGGTCACTAATTTGCAGCTGATCACAGCGAGTCCTGCCGCTTTGCACCTGCATTACACCTGTGAATGAAGAGTAAAAAGTGACATATTTAGTGGAACTTTTGACCTCTGACTATCTGTCTGGGTTGATTTTAGGACATATAACAACACACGTGACATAATGTTGATTTTCAAGGGCGGCTGTGGCTCAGGTGGTAGAGCGGTCGTCCTCTGATCGTGAGGTTGGTGGTTTGATCCCCCGCCCCTCCACAGTTGAAGTGTCCTCGGGCAAGACACTGAGCCCGAAGTTGCTCCCAATGGCAGCTCTGTCGCCATTGGTGTATGAATGTGTGTGTGTGAATGGGTGAATGAGAAACACATTGTAAAGTGCTTTGAGTGCCACAAAGGTAGGAAGGCGATGTATAAGTGCAGTCCATTTACCATTCCTGCACCCTGCATCTGAGAATACCAGCCAGGTACTGCACTGTATGTTTCAACGAGAAAAACTTTACCACATATGTTACCTGGTATTTGCTGCACAGGAAGAAACTCTGGACTGTACAACATGAATGTGAAAGTGATGAATGACTGAAGGACAGAATTACATCACTTCAGCAGATTGATGAAACAGCAATGTCAGTGGCTTTGCTGAAAAATCCATCCGCTGATGGATTGCAGGAGGAAATTATTGTTTTCCTACTGTAAATAATGTTTATTTTATGCAGTTTATTCTCTTCCAGAGCATTGTTCGAGTCAATATTGTCTTGGATGTATGTAATGACTGTTAAATATGACACTGAGAGGCTCTGTCTGAACAATTTCTGCCTTTGCTGCTCACCTTCCCCTGTTGAATGTTCCTTCTTCACACCGTGCTCCGCTTCTATACCCTGAATTCACTGTGAATTTATTGAGCTGGCAGTCACAGCAGAGCAGACTGTCGTGAACAAGATTCAGAATAAATGACATCAACACTCATCGACTGAATCTCAGGTATCTGATGCTGAGATGAAAGTGAAACATTCACACCACTTCACTCTGCATGCCAGTGAATGGAAGCTAAATTTAGCGTCACCATTTATAGCACATCGGCCTCGATAAAACACGTGCTGCGCCGAGATGAAAGCTCTGATTTTGTACTCATTTAGGCCACATATGCACACATGAAGGCTCGTACTGTACGTGCAGCGACGTTGCAGCTGCAGCTCGTGCACCAGTTAGGCTGCCTGTGCTGTCACATGTTGCTAATGGTAACAATCCACTTTCTCACTCTTGTCATTCTTGCCGTCTCCTTCTCAATCTGCAGCTGAATCTAGAACAGTAAGTACACCGTAGCACTTAATACAGAAGGATTACAGCAAACACCATATATATGATCAAAAATTGGACATAAAATAAACACAATAGACAAACTTACCAATCTTCTGGCACGAAATTAACAAAAAACGGCCACATCTAGTCAAATGAACTGTGAATTTTGCATTGTGCAGCGATAGAGCATCGATTTTTGCAGAAATTCCTGAGATAAAATTCCAGAAGTTGCATATTTTTATATACATCTAAAGCATGTGAAGTAACATGACCTTTGTGTTGTCTACATCAGTCACATGCAGAATGTACATCGCTGTTGAATTTAGCCACTTTGCACCAAAAAACGACAAAGCAAAACATGCCATTCACTGAATTACCTGCTGAATATCTTTTTCTGGAATGTGTTCCAGGAAAAACGTCTCATAAATCTGTCTTTTGACTATTTTGCACTTGAGCACTAAACCCAGGAGGGATTGTGGAGGGCAGGAGTGAAAGGAGTCAGAGTGGGAGGCCACAAAACTCTGTCGCTGTAAATATCTGTAACTTTGAGGCTTTTGAGGTCTGAATAATGGGACAGAAATCCGTGAAATGTAGAACTTCCATTCAAGGCTACATCAGTATTTGACTCTGTAACTGCTGTTGGTAGAACAGTGTGTTCTGATCATCAGGGCCATGATTTAGAAATGCTGAGGTTACGGAGTCAACCTGTTTTATAACCTGCAGGTTTAGTTTCTTATAGTAGCTCAGCTGCTTAAACTACTGACATGTAGTGTAAAAACAGGACACACAGTTGTTTCTGAATGATGAAAACAAGTCCTTGTATTATTCTGTGTACAACTGATAAGACGTCATAATTAAGAAAATAATATTCCTTGTTTTTCATGCAAATCTGTTATTCTTCATTTGAGGTTTTGGCTGCTAGATGTTTTTTTTTATTTAAATGAAGCAACGTTTGTTGGGGAAAATTCATAGTTTATTTCTGTAATTTGAATGTTAAAAAAAATCCAAAATAACCACATTTTCCCCAAATATGACACGACAGATGAGACGAACTATGACTAGTTTGCTCCCTTTAAACTTTAACATTACCAGGAATAATATTAATGCAGATTTAAATGCTTATGTTTGCACTGATACAGAAATTTCCTGATAAGAAAGTATAACAAATCGATGGATGGATTGATTAAAAACATCCATCTCTGTTCTTGGCAAATACAGAAATTGTTTAATGTACTGAGCAGATGTTTTACTACTCTTTAAATGTGGAAAAAAAAGTGCCATGCATTCAACAGCTCTGCTATTAATACACAAAAAGCCTGATTGTAGCTTGTCGCAGATAAATCAAATCTGTGTGTAGTGTCAAACCGTCTAAGGGAGGTTTTTAGTGGTTAAGTGACCAATTGAAGCCAGTAAAAGGGCTGAAACCAGCTCAGTCTCTTTAATTTAGTCTGACAGTCAACTGTTAAACAGGGACATGATTACAGCCATTTAAAATGAACTAAATTAATTGGAGACCTGCTGTCGTTATACACATTTCAGATTTACAGGATGTGTGAAAGTAAATTATATTATGTTTATTAATGCAGGCATTGTTCAAGAGGAATGCTTCTGAATACTAAATACCAAATATTTACAGTATGATATAAAGAATATATGCAGTATACACACAGTGTGGTGCATTGCTACTAATAACCATTAGATATTGTATAATATGATAAACAATACTACAATATATGCACATTAATGAGAGCTAACATCTGTATTGTACAAATATAGGTGTGGGATAAGTGGAAATAATTAAGAAATGTTTTATTGTAGCATTTCATGATGCAAGTCTCGCATTGAGTGACAGGGTTCTGTATCAGGATCATATTGATTGATTATGTGTTTGTAGTAGAAACAAAATCCTTAAATTAATGTTGGATTCACCATTTGCTTTAAAAACCGATGAAGCTCAGGTTATACTACAAAGGTTGCAGGATCCCAGCCATTGTTAAGATATTTCATACTGGACTAAAAGGATAAACACCTGAAAACCCAGCGGTAATGTGGCTAAAAAAGGCTGATTTATTTTTATGATTGCAGGTTTTTTATCGATCGAAAATGATAAACTGTTAAAAAAATGTACTCAGAGCTATTTTAATGTCTTTTTTTTCTGCCAGAAAAGAGTCTGAAACACAAAGCTGTTCTTTTTTTACAGAGAAATAAATAGAGAAAAGCAACAAATCCTCAAATCTTAGAAGCCGGAACTGGTAAATGTTTTACACTTTTCCTTAATAGATCACCTGATTAATTTATATACGTTATCAAAAATGCTGATCTGATGCTCAGATCCAGTCATTTCCTCAAAAACAATCCAGAAATTTGCAGCATCATGTCTCCATCCTTTAGAAATGTTCTTCTTGTTTGGCTGCTTTGCCATCTGCATGTCGACATCTATCAGATGCATGCCAGGAGCTGTCTCATTGTCCTTTTTTCTTTGGCCTGACCATCCATCCATTTACCCATCCATCTGTCCACCTATTTGCTTCTACATTCTCTCCCCTCCCTTCCTCCAAGATCTCCCTCTCATCCTCCCCGTTAGAGCCGCTGAATTATTTAACATCAGACAGTGGGCTCGGCCGCCGAGCCAGGAGGAGGATGGAGAGGGAAGGAGGAAAAGCCGGAGAGGGAAGGGGAAGCATGGAGGTGTCCGACGCTGCAGGAAGTCGTGAGTCAGCAGGCAGAGAAAGGAACGGTGGGAGGGAAGACGGAGAGAGTTTATAGATAGCTTTAGGTGATACGACAGGAGAGAGCGGCGTCAAATGCCTCCCGTGGTTCGCGTTCGTTCGTTCGTGTGTGTGCATGCGCGCATCGATCGAGCAAGAGAAGGTCATGGAGCTGAGAGGAGATTAGCAAACTAGACTCGGAGCACGGCGAGCAGAAGCGAACGCCTCTCCCCTCCCCTGAATAGCACAGAAACAGGAGAGGCGAAAGACAAAAAAGGACGAGAGGAGCTGTTACAGTATGGGGGAGAGCTATATGTACCAGCGACTCCCCTACGCCAGAGGAGAGGGGGAGGGGGAGGATGAAGAGGAGAGAGACAGGAGTGTCGGGGGACAAATGGTAAAGTGTGAAGTTGTGCGACGTTTCTTCTTCTCTGACTGTAATTACGCCGTGTGTGTGTGTGTTTTCATGTCAGTGTGGTCGAGTGTGTGTTTCAGGATGAATGCAGCATGGATGTGTTTCTGAGATGTGTGTGTGTGTGTGTGTGTGTGTGTGTGTGTGTGAGGCTGCAGGTGTGTTTGCATGATTTTGATTTAAATCATTCGTTTAGTCCTGTGGTCCACCAAACCAGTGTTGCAAGTTCAACCAAAAACAGAGGAGTGTTCTTATTCAGAATAAATTGAAATGCCCTAAATTATGTATCAGTTCTAGAAAAAAAAAGCAGCAAACATAATGAAACGCCTTACCCGACCTGTTAACAATGAAAAATTACCTTGCTAGTGCACGTCTTGGTCCTGAACCAGGTGGAAACAGCTGGTCTAGTCTCTAAAGTGTTAAAAGACAGATTAACTGCACTGCAAGATCCACATCATTTACAATGATTTAAAACAGAGCAAATCAGTATTTTAGAGGCTTTTTTGTTCACTGTATGACTTAAATAATAATAAGATGTTTAACTTTCTGCAGAATATTGAACTGATTTGACAGCAAATGGTTTCAGCACCATTCCACATGTGCACAGCCACACCTGATGTGGAAAATATATCAGATAGTCATCTGCATAGAAATTGCAGTAGAGGGAATATATGTTTGAATAAATTAAGTAAATAATTAATAAATCCATTGTATTTTTACTTTTAGATGTTCCCCTCACTACAATTCTTGGTCTTAATGTGTAAAAAAGAACAACAAAAAAAACAAACATTTTAGGTCTCAGTTTAATAGAAGTAATTAGCCAATTAACTATTAGCCAATGTAGCTCTACTATATTTTCTACATTTAACAAACATTGTTAGCAACAGAGAGAGATAGAATCCTTAAAAGACAGAAGATTGCTTCTTAAACAAGCACTGAGTGTTGAGGTACAAAAAAACCCCAAAACATATTAACACATTTACAGCGTTAAATAATGTGGATTTCAGTCTTCTGTGCTGTTTGCTGATGCAGGCGGATGCCACAACATTCTGTAGATGACACGTCATTTTTGAAATGGTAGACCGATAGATGGATCAAAAAACTTTTTTTTTTCTTCTATCTAGCGGCTGGTTAGCCTAGCTTAGCATAAAGATTGCAAAGAGCGGGACATGGCCAGGTCAATGCCGTTCAGCGGTATCTGCCGTGAACATTTTATATCTTATTGTTTACAAGAACTGAAGTAAGACAAGTTGTGAGATTAGTTTTTGTGCAGATATATCAAACAAAATAAAAATGTATATTTATGTTGTTTAGGGGTAGCCTCGGTGGGCAAGCTTAGCTGTTTCCCTGTGTCTGGCCTTTATGCTAAGCTAAGCTAACACATTGGTGACTGTAGCTTCCCTTTAGAGAACAGAGGGTGAATTTGCACTTCAAGTGTACCACTAGATTTAGGCAAGAAAAGGAATATAACATGTAACAGGTCCATACTTTACACTAATACTGAAGTACTTATTTTATAGTGTACTATTTGGGCAATTATTTTACAGGAAACATGAAATGATGCAAACCTGCTTTACCTCACAAGTGTTCATGATTATTCGCTGGATAGAAAATTCATTTAAATAATCTTGTATGACAATTTTTAAGCAAAATTGTCCTAATTTGGTGATTTTCTGTGTTTTATGTTGTTATAACTGGAATATCTTTAGGATTTGGGAAGTTGATTGAACAAAAAGACCCTAAATTTGAACTTAATTAGCATTTTTTTCCCCTATTTAATAACCAAATCACTGATAATCTCGGCCCTGAATTGTCATCAGACTGTAACTTTGGATGTAAAAATAGCGAGTAAAGATGTTTTTTTCAGTGCTTTTATGATAGAGTTAATGCTGGAGCCACTCACACTCTAATCAATAATTTTGTCTTTTTGTAGCTCAGAGTAGCTTCTCCACTTTCACCACACATTACAGCGTGTCCATTAACGGTGTCCATTAACATCCCACTCAATAACTGAACAATTTCAGCACACTGGATACTCAGAACTGGGTTAAAGCTGTCTGCTGTAAAGAGCTAGACCTCAGTAATTAACCAGTGAGCGCGTCCTCCTGGCATGCACATGTATTAATGCAGATGAAATGTGTGTGCAGATGCAGTGTGAGGAGGGCACAGAGTGGCTACTGGAGCTGCTGACAGACGTGCAGCTGCAGCAGTACTTCCTGCGCATCCGTGACGAGCTCAACGTCACTCGACTCTCCCACTTCGACTACGTCAAGAATGAAGACCTGGAGAAGATCGGCATGGGACGCCCCGGTACGTCTTTTTAGGATCGGGGGGTGATATTAAAAGAAGTGGCTTTATATCCTGGACACACTTTTAGAATTTTGCAAATATACATGAAGACATTCAAGTTTATTTGTGCCTGCTGTAAATACTTGCAAGTGAACTCACTGAAATGTAAACACGCACAGTTTTCAGTGTTTGTGTTTTTGCTGGTTCAGGTCAGAGGAGGCTTTGGGAGGCAGTCAAGAGGAGAAGAGCTCTTTATAAACGCAAGTCCTGGATGAGCAAGGTGCAGTACCACCAACAATCCAACAATCAGACATTCCTGCACAACAGACACTTTTTTTTTTTGCACTTTTCACAGATGTTTGAACACCTAATGAGACAGTTAATATTTAAGAAAACTTCCTCATATTCAGATTTTAAACACATTTGTTTAACTTTACAGGCATGCGACTCATATTTTTACAGGGCAATTTTGTATATTTATGAAGCAATATATAGAACACAGCATAATTTTAGTATTTAAAGAAATGTATTTTTATATAAGTGCCTTATTTTGGAGAACATGTATGCTGCAATTTTATTTGAAAAGAACATTTTTGTGGTCTGCAGTGGTGGACAGTTCTCTGAAACATATTAATATCACTCTTATCCTGAGTACCACACAGTAACAGATAACAGGGTTTTTATATTTAGAAATTTTCCTCTTAAACCATAATGTAGCTTTGTTCTGATTCATTGACACACTCCTTTATTGAATAAGATGATGGGTTGTTAGTGACATGTGTCTTTAACCCCGTTCCGCAGTTGTTTTTTGGGCTTGATTGAAAGCTTAATACCTTCTTATGCAAATGTCATCAAACCACTTCCAATAGCTTAAACTAAAGGAGACTCTTGTACTGTTATTATTTTACACATTCATCACTTAGTTTGTTTATGGCATTGAAAATGTAGATACACAAATACATTGAAGACACAGTTTTCTCTGAAAAAGGCTAACTCACAAAATATATTCATGTCTTGCTGCTATAATGTGAATTACAAATTTTAAACATGGATCCCTCATTTCTTGTTCTCAAGCAAACCAAATTTCAGGTTAATATGTAAAAGTTTATGACTGCGCTGGACTGTAATAAACATAACATTAGTTTTGGAAGATATTTTTATTAATTCTGAAACAACAGAAGCCCTGATCAACTTTAAAATTTCACATATTCATAGCTTTTAAAGTGCCAATCATTTTTAGATCTGCATTTCTATGATACAGACACCAGGTGGCGTTGCAGAAACAGTTCAGTGTGAAATTTATTATTGGGGTGTTGTCAGTTTGTATTGATTTTTTTCTTGATTTAAATTTTCTCACGTCACTTGTTTTGTGTCTGTCTTTTAACATTTTGACTTCCTTCTCGCTGGAAATGAGAATTCTGACATGTATTTGTGTTCTTTTTGTAGATTCAGATATTAATTCTGTAGACCTCTTGATGAGCATAATGAGGAAAACCAGTTTCTGTCTCTGGACCTGCAGGTGTTTCCGGTGAAACGTCCGGACACCGACCCCCAGCAGCCCCTTCCCCAAGGTGCGTCGTCCGGCACAGTCCCAGCCAGCAGCGAGGCGGGGGCGTCGCTCACCTGCCTGATCAGAGAGACGGAGCTGCAGCTGTTTGAGCGGCTCGGAGACGGCACGTTCGGGGTGGTGCGGCGAGGAGAGTGGACCGGACCCAACGGCAGAGTGGTGAGATGAACAGAGACGGCAGAGGACAGTATGGACAACATAAGAAGCTGCTGTTATGGGTGCAAAGATGAACTGCAATTTAAACTCTGAGGGGTAGTTTATCCTGTTTGTTGTTGAGCTGATATCTGTTCTTCTGTCTCTCTAGCTGTCAGTGGCAGTAAAGTGTCTGAAGGCAGGCGTGCTGGACTCAGACGGTCTGGATGATTTCATCAGAGAGGTGAACGCCATGCATTCGCTGAGCCACCAGAACCTCATCCGCCTGTATGGTATCGTCCTCACACAGCCAATGAAGATGGTAATTCTCACACACACATTTCTAATACCACAGCAGCCTGATTATAATACGATATTCATTTCCTGGATTCAGAATTGATTCAAGCACAATTACCCAAATTCCCAACGTTGGAAATCGCTGCTAAGCTAACAATTCAGTGTGCTCTGAGTCTTTTAGAGTTCTACAGCAGAGTTTAACCTGCAGGAATTTCTCAAGGCTTGTGTTTTCCTGCCATAGAAGAAATAAATGGGGGAAAAAAACTAAAAATTCATAAGGTCTGCCAAAAAGTTGTAGCTACGACAGTCTAGGAAAGCCTAAAAGATGCTAACTGAAGAGAAAAGGCTTCAACTTGTCCCCAGATTAGTGTTGTCTCAGGGAAGTCTTAATTCAGGGCAGCACTATAGTCTTAGCAATACTTCATTTATGACTAACAAACCAATAGACAAAACTCAAAACTTTGCATTCTTCTGCTTTTGTTTGCGTGCAGGTGGCCGAGCTGGCTCCTCTGGGCTCCCTGTTGGATCGTCTCAGAAAGCGTCAGGGTCACATCCTCATCTCCTCGCTGTGTAACTACGCCGTGCAGGTCAGTCAACGCCAACAGGAAAAAAACACACGAGAGGAATTTGCAGTTTAAACCCAAGAGTTCCTGTTTTATGTTTTTTGTTTAGGTTTGAGCCCCTTCCTAGAGATCTGTGGCTGTTTTCCTTCCTTAGATTTTCTGCTGGTGAAGAAAGCACCAAAACTGCCAGTGTAATATTTGTGCATGAGAGGGGCTTTGCATTCAAATGTATGCCATTAACAGCTGTCATACTAACAGTTAAGGTTATGTTATGTTTGAGGGAATGACATCCTACTAGTTTAGACATTTTCTTTAACTTACGAGCCACTTAATTTACATGAACTCCACTGTTCCTGTCCTGTGTATATGTGCAGGTGGCGTGCGGGATGGCCTACCTGGAGCAGAAGCGTTTCCTCCACAGGGATCTGGCCGCCCGCAATGTTCTGCTGTCCACCAATGAGACAGTGAAGATCGGAGACTTTGGCCTGATGAGGGCGCTGCCAACACACACCGACCAGTACATCATGGAGGAGGGCCACAAAATCCCTTTCCCATGGTGAGGAGAGCAACCTGCTCATGTGAAATAATGTTGTTTTGGTGGCTTGGATTTTCTGTGAATGATTCTAAAAGTTTTCCTTTGCTTTTTGACATCCTGTCCCACGTTCTCTGAATCTCTGTCTTTACAATTTGGTCCCCTCAGGTGTGCTCCAGAATCTCTGAAGTCTCGTACTTTCTCTCACGCCTCTGACACCTGGATGTTTGGGGTCACTCTGTGGGAGATGTTCACCCACGGACAGGAGCCGTGGCTGGGCCTGAATGGGAGCCAGGTGCATCTTTTTTACTTTGAACTTCACCTCAAAACGTTAGGAATGAAAGAAAGCCTATAGCATCATATTTCAACAAATGTAATAGTCAACTATAATATTATTTCTGAATATGTGTGCAGATCCTCCACAAGGTAGACGTGGAGGCTGAGAGGCTGTGCAAACCAGACGACTGTCCTCAAGACGTTTACAACGTCATGCTGCAGTGCTGGAGCCCCAAACCTGAAGACAGGCCGACCTTCATCGCCCTCAGGGACTTCCTGCTGGAGGTAGTGCAGTGGTTTTTATAAACTGGACAACAAGGCAAGAAGTTAACTCATGAATTCCATCTAAAGTTATCTGCAATAAGGATTCATACAGCTGCTCCAGTAGACACAGACAGCATTAATGTTTTTGTCGTATTGGTGTCAGTTGGTCATTTGTCTTGCCAATTTTGCAGTCATCAGTTTTGTTCAGCACAGGGTTAATAAATCTTTCCAAAGTTGTACAGTTCAGTTGTACATAAATATCCCAGCAGTAGTGGCTAACCAGCTAAAATGGCTAAAGCAGGGGGATCATTTCTTTGTGTATTTTTGGTCACTCAATGACAGGCGTTAAAATTGATGTCAAAACCTCAAAGTTTACGTAGAGGGTTTTTCCTGATAAACACTTTATGGCCGACTTTAGGTTGTCTTAGTCTCTACAGCAGAGCTAGGGAGTGCGTACATAACTCAGTTGAAAAACCTAAACTCTTACAGATTATTTTTAATTGTCGCTCGAGAAGCTCATTTTTGAATAATTAATTTCAGCAATTGCGAATGTGCTGCGACGAGCATCTGATTAACTAATAAAGGGTTTGACTTCTGCAGGTAACAAGCTCACATTATTTAAATGCTAATGTGACACAAGCACTCTCAGCTTTGTCTTCAGCCGCTGTTGAGCAAAAGACAAGAATTGTCAGCATGAAAACATCAAACCGTAGCTCCAAAAGTCATTTGCCACATGCTGGTTTAACTGGCAAATGAGACAATGAAGGGGAAGGAAGTGAAAACAAAGAAATCACTGTTATAGAAAGTGACATTAACAGTCAGTTTATCAATTCTGACATGGATAAAGATAGTCTTTAGTGTAAGACTAGGCTTCATGCATGTCTGACATGTCATACAGATATCTCTTTCCGTTTTGAGCACAGAACAAGTCTGATTTAAATGCTGTCCAATAAACGTAAACACCGCAACATGCAATACATATGCATAAAATCAGTTAATTAAACTCTAAAATGGTGTGAAAGAGCCAATTTTAAAGGAGATTAGTATCAGATCAGTACATAAAACCCATTTCTCTTTGCGGTAGATGAGATTAGCAGCCCTCCATGTGTATCTGGTTTCAATACCCACCAGCAAAAACACGTTCCATCCAACATGTGTGAGGAAGTACGACTCAAACCTGCTATTTAATGCTCTGTGGCAAACGGTTCAGGTGAACCGAAAATGTGTCCTCTATGTTTGAAATATGCTTCTGATCCTGCAGGTGACAGCGGCATTGTATTACTGTGTATTTTGCAGACTATGCCCACAGACATGAGAGCGCTGCAGGACTTTGAGGAGGAAGACAAGCTCCAGATTAAAATGAACGATGTCATCACCATCATAGAGGGAAGGTCAGTGTGTTTGTAAGACAGCACATGCCACAAAAGAATGCCGCAGTCCTGTAAGTCATTGTTCCAGGACGACTCTGGTACAGAAACCAGTGTTTTAACCAAATTACTGGGTTAGGAAGTCATGCTTGTGTAATTGTAGAATGAAGGTCAATCCCACAAGACAACAAATGCATGTCTTGTTGTAACCGAATTCCTTGCATTATGGGAAGATTACTGTAATTACTGTCCTGTTACTGGCCTATTATAGAAATGTTCCTGTTTAGTCTGTGTGCGCATTGAAACCCCAAATTCGAACCTAGTCGTGAACACTTTATTTATAACAGACAGTTTATTGTTTTATCTGTGCTAGTAGAATACAAACTGCTGTAGGGATCTTCTTACCTATTGTTTTGTTTGTTATTTATTTGTATGCCTGTAGGGCAGAGCACTACTGGTGGCGAGGTCAGAACCGGGGCACGCTGCGTGTCGGACAGTTTCCCCGTCACGTGGTGACATCGGTCGCCGGTCTGTCCGCCCACGACATCAGCCGACCGCTAAAGCACTCCTTTATCCACACTGGACATGGAGACACAGACCCTCACAGGAGCTGGGGACACGCAGACCGCATAGACAGGTTAACACTCCCACCTAATGTAACACAACGTGAGATAAAGCAGCAAACACATTCTTGGGTTTATGTTGATTATTATAGGCTGCTTTTTGGCATGTAAAATGTAGCTTTTAGTGTCTGTTTTTTTGTAAATTCCAAATAAAGTCATACTAGTTTTAGCTATGTTCATGAACTCAGCTGCCTTCATACAGTGAAAGGTAGTTTAAAGGAAGCAAATGATAATGATGATTCAACAAATAGACCCTTGTTCGCTTTGGTTGCCCTGAAATCCCTTTTAAAGACAGTTTTGTCCTTCTTACGATCTTCTTAGGATCGAAAATAGTGAAGCTCAGAAAACTTTTAGAGCAAAATCTGAATCATGTGAACCCCTCAGGTTATTTTTTGGCATGTTAAGCCTTTATTTGATACTAACAATGAAGAGAGAGACAGAGGAAATGTGGAGATAAATAGTAGGGGAATAACATGCAGCAAAAAGTTCAGCCAGACGGGAAACAAACCAGGGACTCTGTGTTTAGGGCATTTGCGGCCATGTGGTATCTCTAATGTTTTTAAGAGATGGTTAGTGCCCTAACCACTAGGGTCGTCTGTAGGTTTCTCTTTATAACAATAATTACAGCACTCAAGATGACAAAGTGCTTTCACAATGAGACAACACTACAAGTTACAAAATACAACAATAGAATCAGGTAACACAACCAGAAACAAAGGAATCAAAGCTAGTGATGAACATAAAATGATAAACATGAATGATTATAGAACATTTGTCCACCTGTAGACTCAGTCATTGGCATGTTCCTATTTTTAAAGCCACTCTTAGTCTGCTCCCTTCACATCTAGGGATCTACTATGGCCATCAAAAAAGTACAAGAAGCTGTTGTCTTAAAGAGCTGTTCTCACAAAACGAATTCAGATCAACTTCATGTGACTTTATGTCATGACTGACTCACATTGCCACTGAATAGTTATTGACACTGATGATTGGCGACATATACTTTTGCAATTTCACCATACGATACGCATTCTTAATCTTCATGTGAACCTTATGTATCCTGTCTTGGCCAGGATGCTCTAGTTAAAGTTACTCTTATTCTCCATGAGACTAGTCTTGGTTAACCTATAAATTAAAAGAAGAAAGACAAAAGACAAATTGACCTGAGGTTGTCAGGGTGCACGAGGACCCACAAAAAAGTCTCTGGTCTCTAATGTAGCTTCAGGCCTGCATAAACTGCTTTAAAAGTATCAGTAAAATCCCACAGGCAGCCATTTCTGGTCAGCCTGTAAAGCATGTTGAACAGTTCCAGTGTCTCTACAACTAAGCATCTTTGCAATATTCCTAATAACAGGGTCAAGAACAAGATTTATAGATGTAGGTTGTGTAAATCAAGATTTCAGTTTGATAAAATATGAGGATAATAACCTAAAAACATCTGTTTGAAAGCGACAACTCCTACATAAACACTAAATCCTGTGTCTTCTAGCTGGAACACTGTCTGTTCTCAGGCACCACTGTTGAACTGTAGCTCTCCACTGGAGGGCAGCAGTTGACCACATGTAGTTCAACAGATGTTGAGCTTGTTCAGGTGATTTTAGAAGACGCTCACATCCAGAGCTTCCCACAGTGGCTGCAGGACAGTTTTTACAAGCATCTGTTACAGTAGCACACATCAAATAATGTTACTGACTAATACTACCATCAGCACTATCAGTGAATTCAACTGTGCAGTTTCATTATGCTATAATGGATTTCTGTCTTTCCTCAGTCTGTATTTGGGAAACCCGATGGACCCTCCCGACGTCCTGGGAATGGACTCAGGCAACGCAAGACCAACCAAACTCCCCAACCGTGCCAAGAGTAAATTCATCCATGCATCGACACTTTCTTTGTTTTTATTCTAAGTTTTTCTACTTTTATTTGATCATGTAGAAAAATGAGCTCATTCTTCACATTCTAAAGTGTCTAAATCTGTTTTTATCAGAGCAGCCTCCACCTCGTCCACCCCAACCTGCCGTTCTGTTCAAGAGTGAGTTTTCATCTTTGCTCTTTCAATCTGACATTCAAACACAATGCTGCTGCTGCTCTGCCCTGACTCTGGTGTGTGAATCTGTGTCCAGAGCCGTTCTACGACTCAGTGATGGACGATTACGATGACGAGGACGACACCAGCGCCTCGTCGGGGCTGAAGAGGCTGGGGGCGTCCCTGGGTCTGAAGCTCCGGCCGTGGGAAGGGTCCGGCGTGCGCTCGGCCAAAAGCGAGGTGTCGCTCATCGACTTCACGGACGACAGCTTCAGCTCGACCACGCCGTCGCCGCTCACCGAGTCACGGCAGCCGGATGAGGACACGCTGAAGGTAGAGTTGTGGCTGGTTCAGACTGCACACTCTCAGTCGGATAATTAGGAAAACACATGGCTGCCGCACCGTAAAAACAAAAACGTATCAGTTTCATGGTGTAACATAAAAAGTTTATTGTTAAAACAAGATGGTTTTCACATTACAAGAAGATGCTTCCACTTCAATGCAACATACAAACTTTGAAGTCATAATGAGAAACTTTTCTTTATACTGTTTCTCTTGTTTCTTGAACTTTACGTTTATTATAATTGTAGAAAATTGATCATTTACACGATTTGATTGAGTTATACTTCATGCTTGGGTTCAGAGATCGAGACATTGATTCTGCTGTTATTAAGGACAATGAACGATGTTGTGATAAGTCATGTATCGATGGAGACTTGAATATCCCTCCAGCTGATCGATGAGCGATGACAATGATCTCAGAAGGGACAAACTCATTCCGTCTTCCGTGCATTTTAATATGCTTCTCTGTGTACGCAGACTTACCACAATATCCGTACTTAATAGCATAACATAAGCCATATTCATCAATTTATCCTTTCTCCACACACCATTTCCTCATTCAGACACGAGTTTCACGCTACATCAAAATAAATTAACATTTTATGACGTGAAACATTGCACGTTATGTAAGATAAAAAGTATATTTTTGTAACAACATAACGTGAAAATATCTTGCTACGACAATTTTTCACGCTATGACGTGACACTGATTCGATTTTCTCTTTCTGGTGTGGAAGCGATGCACTGCTGTAGATAATTAACCAACCTGACTTGTTAAAAGTAGAATTAAATATTATCTCAAACTCATAAATTCCAAGAAGATGTATCCAAGTCGTTTTGTGATCATCTGACTTTTTCCTTTTGCGCCACAGTGACTTTCACATTTGTGGTTTTAAGTACAATATATTACCACGTATTGGATTATTTGCCATAACTTTACTTGAGGCACAATAATAGATGTTTTTGTTCTGTTAGTATTTCATAGTGGACACCTCGTGCTAGTGAAGCTACAGGACTATGATGTTATTTACTTCTCTCACGCCATGGGACTTTCAAACTTGTCCGAGATGTTGACTAATAGGAGCCCGAAGTGCTCTCTGTCAGTTTTTCTTTCCTTTTTTAGACCTTTCATGACAGAAGACAAGACTTTTTTGTTTGCTTTCAGTGTTGTTTTGTGAGAAAGACCAGATTGCGGTCTGTCAATTCAAGTCACAGCAAAACAGTATGACTGACTCTGTATGACTATCACCTCATCTGACACAGTGACCATCTTATCAGGCAGAAATGTTTGAGTTTAACTCAGCATTAGAGAGAAGATGCATCTCAGAAATGGCTCCAGTTTGAGTCTAAAGAAAACCAAAAGTTACACATTTGATGAAAGTGGTTTGACATGTGTGACGAATGAAGCATTTTGTCAATATGAGCTTTCAATTACAAAATGAACTTTGAAGTTGTAGGACACATTTTAGGAGCCAACAATGACAAAAGCAGCCAAAGAGCGACAGTAGGCTAGTTTTCGTTGGCTTGTCTAGTTGTTCATCAGTGAAGAATAGAGCAGCATTAAAGTTCAAGCTCAACATTAAAGGGAAAGCATGGCAAAAAGCAATAATTAGGTTCTGATAGTGCACCTAATCAAATGGTTTTAGTGCACTTATTCATTAGTTTATTTATTGGAGATTGTGCACAATAATCTGCTTTTTAGCAAAAAGGCTGTTTTTCATTATTTTATTTCCACAGAACCTATGAAAGACCTAAAAGTGCAATAGTCTTCATGTAACGTGAAGTGAGAATGCAGTTAGCATGTTCTTTCAGCTTTCTTGTCCGATTTAACTAGATAATTCAAGTAAATAAATTTTATTTTGATTCTTTGTATTCTATTGTTTATAAGGATTAGGTTAGTGGTTTGCTTTCTTAATGTTTGTATTTAGTTAAATGTAATTAACAACAACAAATACACCAAATAAAGTGTCACTTGTATCGGAAGCAGAGATGGCAGGCACTGCTCCGCTAGGCTAGGCTAGGCTAGGCTAGGCTTCTTCTTTTTTCTAGCATAATTGGATTTAGAAAGTGCCTCATTAAGTTGTGTCAATTAAACATATCATATCTCAAAATGTACATATATATATTTGACAATTGCATTTTCATTTACAGATATCAGCTTGCTAAATTGTTTTTTGCATTAAGCAAGTTAAGACAAGCTGCTTAGCAGTAAGTAGCGATTAATGCAAAGGATTCTGCTCCATGGTGTTGTTGTAGAAGGACAGAAGATTAATTATTTTTTAATTCTACTTTTCTTCTTCTTCTACTTTTGTATATATGATAAAATTGTAGTAATGGCTCACAAACATGATAGCTTATTAGCTTGCTAGCGGTAGTGCTAGCTTGGCCGTCTCATGACCCTTGCTCTGTAAGTCATAGATGCTGAGAGCTGTGTTTTAATAAAGTGTTGAAGGTCACTGAGTACATCTTTGTGCTGGGTGGAGAATTTATGGAGGACAACACGTCTTCATTTTGTTCACCGGTCTATCGAGCTGAGGTGTAGAGGAAGGTGATTTGTTTTTCCAACCCCCCAGTGGAACCCAGCAATCATAGCAGAGGGGACTTTACACTATATTCACTTTTCCCCTAGTGATCTGGAGATTTAGGCTTCTGACCTTTTAATTTTGCCCACAAAAAGCGACTGTGCAGCAGTTCATAGGTTTTAGGGACACGTGAAAGACCTTAGATGGCTGCACTGCAAAAGAAGGAAAAAGGAGCATGAAATAAATCTGCACCACGACTCACAAACGTACCCTCCAAAGACAGCGGTTCAGCCTTTGGCCTGGAAATGTCATAAATAACCCTTTTCCTCTTGGATGCACCCGAGGCAGGTGCCGTGTGATGGATGATTGGTGGTCATTGATTGATCTTGTAGGCGTTCATGCTTTAGTGGTCTGCTGTGGGGTTTCACAGTGATTCCACCCTGTAGCTTCTGTCTGCCTTCGATCATCCCGATCAAGCTGTGGCTAAAAGCGTGGTGTCACAATGCTGTATTATAAGTTTATCTGACTGATTTTCTTTATTTTAGTTCAAACATTCATTCCTCTGAGGATGAATTGTATTAACTTTTAATAATTGGAATACTATTAATACACTTAATTCATATGTTACAGTGTCTAACAGAAACAAAAATGTTTAAAAAGACGAATAACAGACATAAAGTAAAATGCAGATCATTAAATGGAGATCATAAAGTAGCCCGAGAGCATCAGAACAGAGAATCAAAGATCATATAAACAGCAGGCCATAAAACAGAAAGGAAACAAAAGAAAGGGATCATAAAATAGTCTCATATAACAAATTCACAAGAATGTTTTCAGAGAGGTTTAAAAGACACTAAAGATGCTGTACGTCAGATCTCATTAGAAAGGCTCTTCAACTGTTTATTTGTTCTACTGGTAAAAGCCTGGTCACCGGCCAAGCCCCATTTACCAATACAAGAGAGCACTCTGGGGCATAAGAGGTTGAAAGGTCTTTGATGTGATTTGGAACAAGGCCAAGTAATGCTTTAAAACTGATTAACAGAATTTTAAAATCAATACGTAGCTTTACAGGTAGCCAGCGTCAACTGGCAAGTACCAGGGTAATGTGATCAGCTGGGATCTGGGCTGCAGCGATTCAAACAGGTTGGTGAAGTGAGCTCTGACCGATGCTGGTATAAAGTGGGTTGCAGTAGCTGAAGCGGGAAAAGTATAAATGCATGTATGGTCCTATGGAGGTCAGGAATGATCTGCTCTCTTCAACTGAGCATCAAAAATAGCTTTCAGGTAGATTGCTTAATATTCTTGTTCAACCATGTTTACTGGGAAGCACGCTAACATATTAAAGTGAGATTGTTAATATTTTAAAAATGTACCCTAGTAAGCATCAGCATGTTCCAATTCATGTCACACTTCTGTTTCTATTGCAAAAAAATAAAACTATCAATACCTTAAAGCACAGCAGCATAAACAGAGCCTCACAGAAAACAAGGGAAAGTAAAAAATCACAATATTAATATTTATTATTAAATAATAAATAATACAAGAGTATGCAGAGTCACATAGACAATAATAAAACAGAAGCAAGGTAGACGACTCTGTTGCCTGACACATTACATCATATAAAACTCCTCCATTACCTTAAAAAACTTAGGGTTGGTTTGTAATGTGCAGTTGAGCTGAAAGAATTAAGTTGATGGATATATAGATAGGAAGAATCTGCAATTGTTTTATTATCGATTAATCATTTAAATTTTTCATTTTTTAATCAAAATGGCTCAAAAAAATGTTTTACTACCAGGTTTTAAAATGTGAATACCTCTGGGTTTTAGAGCTTTCTATGATATTAAACAAGAATAGTTTATGTTGTTTTTAGACTGAATGATTAGTAGATTCATCAACGTTATTATTGAGTAGTTGCAGCTCTACATTACAGATTTGTAGGACATATTGTCACAAAACTATCACAACATTATCCTGCTGATAGCTGATAAATGATAATGCTGAATTATTTCTTTTCCTGTTTACTCTACATATCCTCTATTGCCTGCATAACTTTTCCTATTAAATCATTCCTCCTCATCAGGACACTCCCTCCATCCTGGACTGGCCTCTTCCTCAACCATCCTACGACGAGGTTACTACAGACCTTGAGGACCAATCGGAGGACCAGGAGGTTCGATCAATCAACAAAGGCTTCAACGAAGAGGCCTCGACGAACCCCGGCGTCGGCATGGCGGGCAGGAGCGAGTCTCAGTCAGCCGACCTCTTCCAGGAGCTGCAGAGAGAGGTAGGAAAAAGTTGTGCACCAAGAAAGTGACGCTTGTGTTTTCGAGCCGCTGAGCACGGTTTCTTCTGTCCAGATTGATTTTTGTTGTTGCTGATGAATAATTAACACAACACATATTTCATTCTGTGCTAATATTTCTCTGCCGACGTAGGTGATGGTGAAGCTGCAGGTTCCCATGGCAACAGGCCGCTCGCTCCCCTCCTCCCCCCTCCCCATGCCTCTGGCTCCTTTGGGCCCCCACCGCCAGATCTACCTGCCTCCTCCCTCCCCGTCCTCCTCCTCCTCCTTCACCTCCCCCTTCGAGGACCGGCCGGTGTTGCCTCCTCGCAGCCCCATCCCTCCCCTGCGTCCCTCCAAACACAACCTCTCCACCCGCGCCACCAAACCACAGGCCCGGTCCAGCTCCATTTCACTGGGCGACGAGGACGACACGCCTCCTCAGATCCCACCCAGAGACCACGCCTTCTCTCAGCCGGGCTCCCGCTCCTCCTCACCCCTCCCGCTGGTGCCGCCACTCTCCAACTCACCCGTGATCCTGCCCCCTCCTCCCATCTCCGTCTCCCCACGTCGGGCATCCGGACTCCTGGGTCCCCTGCTGTCCTCCAACTCCTCGTCCTACTCATCATCCCCACCTCAAGCCGCATCCTATTCCTCACGGCTGGCACCTCCAAGCTCGTCCTACTCGTCCAGCTCCTTACTGGATCCTCTGGCGTTTCGAGAGGGGCGTGGCCTCTCCTCGCTGATTGACAGCTCCCAAAGCCCTGCTCCCATCCCGCTGCCGGAGAGACCAGCTTTTCTAGAGAGGTGAGTTTCTCACATCAAACACTGTCTCTCAAAGCATCAAATTTTAGATGCTCTTTGATTAATAACAAATTAATTCACAAACCATCAACAAATCCACAATCTTGATTCATTAAAGGATTTGTGGCCCGACTTAAAGTTTACCTTTTGCTTTTTTTCCATAGTTTAGTTCAGGGGTGTCCAATCCTGGTCCTCGAGGGCCACAATCCTGCATCTTTTAGATGTTTCCCTCGTCCAACACACCAGATTCAAATGATTAGGATCGTTATCAGGCTTCTGCAGAGCTTGATGATGAGCTGATCATTTGAATCAGGTGTGCTGGAAGAGGGAAACATCTAAAACATGCAGGATTGTGGCCCTCCAGGACCAGGATTGCCCATCCCTGGTTTAGTGTTTTACTAACAAATCCTATGAAAAGAGCAAAAGCAACAATGAATTGATCAGACTAACCACTATTAACCTAATTTAGCTTATTCTTCTGTGGTATAGAGCTCCATTGATGTCCACACTTACATACTGGGTGACTTGTTTCTTAATTACAAAAAATATTGATTTAGAAACAGCTCCCCAGACTAAAACATGTGACCACTTTCACCGTTTCCAGAGCACAGTACCTGTCAGGTTCAAACTGGCTTCTCATCTGACACTTTCTTCTTCTTGTCCAAATCCTTGTATTGATCACAGACAAGCAGTAAATGTCTCAAAGACCTTTAGCTCAGCTGCGTGCAGTAAATTTGCCAACAAGTAAATAAGCTAAATGATAGAGCCTATTTGTTTTTATTAGTTTTGGGAAATCAATGGAGCTGTATATCACAGAGGAATAAGATGTATGAGCGTTTGGACAAATAGCCAGTACTTGTTAGCTGAATCATTAGCTTTTAGGTTTAAAAAAAACCCCCAAACATGTCATTTAGAAGAGTTTAAGGTTTAGTTTGACATTCTGAGAAATCTCTAATGTATGCACTGTAAGTATTAACCCACTGGACACATGTGGAAATGTAGCAAATTCCCCTTTGTGCTAAGCTATGCTAACTCGCGATAGCATGTTCCGAATGTCTCATCTAACTCTTGGAAAGAATAAGAAAATTTCCCTAAATGTCAGCCTGTTCTCACAGTTTTAAATTGTTTTATTCTCTAACTTCAGGCAAAACTTTGGTATTTTTCAGCCTGGGTCTTATTTTCTAAATTATTCCAGCTACTGTGTAACTGTGTTAACGTTGCACTTGAGGCCCGTGTCGTATCTGTTACATACAGGCTTATGCACTTTATGAAACAACAATTAATATCTAGTTATTGTAGAAAAATAAGTAGCTTACTAGTTGGAGCATTAAACAAAACCAAACTGTTAGCTTTGTTGGCTGGGAGCATGTACATGTACATGTAGATTCCAATTCAGCTAGCAAAGGTAGCTAATCTGGGGGGTAATTCGAGTTGGACTCAAGACTTTATAATGATTTGTGGAGTGAAAAACATGTGAAGTTCACCTTGCTAGTGTCACATTTCCCAAACCTCTACAGCGGAAATCATGAGTGCAAAGTTTGCAATGACCCATTTAGTCAAAAATATCCACAACTATGAGAACCAAAATCAGATTGCCAGAGTTTTCCCTTACGTGTTACTTTAAAATCTAATCTTGTCGGTTAAAGGCAAGGACTGGAGGTTTTGGATAAAGTCAGTCTTTAAATATTTCTCACAAGAAACTCTTCAACATTCCAAGTAGAAATGAGGCAGCGCTGTTTCGTTGGCAATGAGCTGACTTCCTGTGAAAATCCTGCATGTTACGCAATAAGACAGTTTTGCCAGCTTGCTGGTCCTGAAATGCTGGAAACACTAAAAGACCCTGACGTATTATGACAGTTTCACTACAAAAGCTCATGTAACACCCGGAGAGCAGCAGGCTTCACTCAATACAGAGCGAGAAAGTGCTGTTTGACTGACGGCCTGGATTCGTCTCCTTGTGAAGCAGTGTGCTGTACACACAGCTTTAATCCACTTCCATTATTTTGTTGGTTTTGTGACAGTCTGGCGTCGCCTCCATGAGATATTTTTGGTGTTTTTCTTCTCTCTTTAGTCTGCAGGGTTTTTCCTAATCTTTATGAGCAAGTTATTAAATTTTCCTGAATGAAAGACTGTAGCAAAAATAACTGGAATAATTAATAAGTAAAAACAAAATCAAAACTATTATTGAAATTAGAAGTCATGTTTTGTACCCATAATGTAAAATTCAATGTTTAAACTTAAGTGCTAACATCATACATGAGCCTAAATCCTAATCAATAACAGATCAGTAACATTTTAGAACCGTTTATGATGTTTTATGGCTTCTTTTTAACTTTTAAACAAGTTTCAGAGGTTCTTCGTGACCTTTTAGGCAACAGTTGACAAAGCAATCTCACTTTAAGGTCATTTGAGTGGAGCTTATGATAATGTAAGTTAATAGGTAAATCTAAAATGAAAGTATATACATAATAAATGCGTATAAATAAAAGTTATTATGTCATGCTAGGTTTTATTTAGTGCATAGGTGCAGTTTTCACAGATAAACATCACCATCTGTTCAATATTCATGGACCTTACTTTGGTTTCCTATTCAGATACGGAGCAGCCAACATGGCAGCAGTGAAGCCCATGATGCAGCAGCAGCAGCCCGGCGGAGTCAAACCAAACACCTCGTACAACAACAACAATGGGGGAGCTGCAGCTCCCAGCATGCAACAGGAGCAGAGCATCACACAGGTGAGGGAGAGCAGAAAGAAGAAGAGAAAATCCGTTTCTACTTATTTAAAATGTCATCACTTTTTTTTTCTTCTTGTTGACAGTCACACAAATGCCAAACACCACGTGTGGTTATATGCCACAGGCAGACAAATTGGAGACGTTAATATCTCAGTAACATTTGGAAGCTGCCTCTTATTAAGTCCACATTCCTTTATCAACAAAACTTTTAATTGGCAGAACAGTGTGTGCATAAAGCAGCCGACTTTATAAACACTTATCACTTGGTTTTCTGCTGTCTGTACTGAGGGTTGTTGTAACAATAATGGAGAATTAATAAAGAAAACCATTAACTGTGTTGTTAATTTCATTATCATGTGTATGTGACTGTAAACTGGAGGAAAACTTCAAGTGCTTCTGGCTAATTTGAAATCTTATGCAGTTTGACTCATTGTACAAATGACTGAGCAAGTCTGAAATTAAAAATGGAAGCCTGATTGTTATTCTTCTTCTTCTGCGCACAAGAATACTTAGAATAGACTTTTATTGTAATTCTAACAATTCATGACTTATACATCCGTCAGAAAATGTTGATGACATGAACCAGCAGGCTTGTATCAGTCTCTCAAGTAGCACAGATGTAGAAATAAGTTTACATTTCATCTCCTCCTAAGTTGTGATTCCTGCTCTCTGCACCCAGGAAGACAGTTGTGTAGATGCTCAGCACATAGCAGACTTTACTGTAGACTCTATCGCCCTGTTGCCGTTGTTTAAAATGCAAACAATCTATAGGTTCAGACAAGCTTTTTTAAACTTCGTTATCTGATTGCCAGGTCCAAGGAGCAGTGCACGGCGTCACGATGGAGGAGTGTCAAGCCGCTCTGCGAAGTCACAACTGGAGCATCCGGCAGGCCATAAACCATTTGAAAGTACAATAATCTGTCCACATGCTTACTCATTTTCAGATGTGCCACGCAGGAAGTAGCCACGGTTTAACAGGAAATATATACATGAGCCAGAAAAGGCTAAAATAAAAAACTGAAAAAAGATCCAGTATTCATATATAGCACTGGTTTTGTCAATGGGACACAAACAAAGTGGCTTGGACCGATTCACACAACATTATTTCAGAACTTTTTCCAGAATCTCAGACCTTTAAACCCGTTGCAGTACATATGATCAACCAATTATATATTACAGAATAGGGCTGGTGATAAAACAACACACTGACATTTTGATCAATAACCAGTGCGAACACTAGACAAGCAGAGTTTATCACATAAGAATTCTCAAAATAAAATAATGAATGCAACCATGCACACCAATTAATCTAATTATCACAGTCGCAATAGAAAAGAGCCTGATCGCAATCGCAGGCTGAGTGTGAAAATATCTGGAGTGACAGAGACAGAAATGCACAGAAATGGTCGTCAGGACAGCAGGAACATGCGACAGCACAACACGTGCTACACAATACTGCATGCCTACCTAACGTCCCCCTTTCACCATCTGTGTCGTAGGTGGAGCAGCTGTTTCGGTTGGGGCTGCGTTCGAGAGCGGAGTGTGAGGAGCTTCTGCAGCGCTGCCAGTGGAACCTGGAACAGGCCAGCACGCTCATGCTGGACACATACGGACCACATCTCAAGAGGTAATTAATAATAAGCTCGAGAAATCAATAGAGAAACAAAAGGGAAAGCAACAAAAAGAGGATACCTTGTACAACAGTTACAAAACCCTCAAAGTATCGCTGACAGCAAAACCACACATGACGACATTGTCCTCTCGTCTGTCTGCTGTCCAAGAGTTAGTGCTTGTTGTCACATTGCTAATGCGAATGGATCTTTGGCACAAGAGTAAAGCTAAAATAATCTCTCAAGTAATTTCCTGTCTTCAATTTGTCAAGTCAGCTCCAGTGTGGCTTAGAGGTCAATTTCAGAGGCAGCTTTAAATCTGTTACTGTGCACTTGTCTTGGCGTCTTCTGTCTCCTCTGTTCCTTTTGTAGTTTATCTGTTTAACCTTCTTTCTAATGGTCTAAATTTATTTTAGTTTAGTGGGTTTTCTTTTACAAAAGTTGATGCCATTCCTAAGGCTGGATCCTAGTATTTAGCTGTAGCCATGAGGCCGTTAGCTTAGCTTAGCATTAAGAACTTGAAACAGGAGGTAACACCCAGCCTGACTGTATACAAACCTGACTAATTTGTTAATTAGCGAGCTTTAGAGATACTTGTGAAGAAAACCTGGCTGACCATTTCCTTCTGCTTTGTCTTTATGCTAAGCTAAGCTAATCACCTCCTGTCTCTAACTGTAACCCACCAATATGCAACATTTTGTATTAAAATTTTCTAAAAGCGCTTCATAAAAAAGATTATATCTAATATTAAAGTAAGTTTTTTGAAACCTTGCTGACAGAAGAACTTCTCAAGACCAAAGACACTTTACCCTTTAAAACACATATGGCTATTTTGCTTTTTAAAAACAACAACAACAACAACAACAACAAAAAAACAACAAAACAAAAATAACATAAGCTTATTTACGCATTTTTGTTCTCTGTTTTGGTCTCCACCAATCCCTGACAACAATATCTAATTTCCTATTAAATGCTAATGTTTAATCTGAGGTATTTGACTAAAAGTAGACTGAGGTTAGTGGCGTCAAAGGCAAAAACAATAAACTAAAAAGTACTAAAACTCAAAAAAAGAAAAGAAAAAGCCTCATCAGAGTTGAGGTTCGCTGGGTGCAAAGTTTAGTGACTGTTGCCTAAGAATTCTAAATCTGGGTGGGAAAAAGCCCCCAGCCCATATCCGATTTCTCGAACAATTGCGCATATGATACGTTCTCTTTCTGCGTCGCCAGGAAGTGACAGCGGGAGAACACAGTGATCAGCCCCTTGCGTCACCTGGATGACTCATGGCTCCGACGAGGCAAGATGCGTTTGAATGAATGGAGGGACATAAGGCAGTACATGTGCCTCACCTTCTCTACTGTGAATAACTGCTACAACCTGTGTCACACGCATGCATGCTCATTATTAGCTAACAGAGCAGCTTGTTGAATGAGTCACAGTATTTACTTGAACAGTTGCTATTTATGTTGTTATTTTTATCATTAGATGAATTCCGCTGGTCGCTGCTGCAGACTTTATCTGACTTTGTCGTGAATGCGTGCATGTTCCAAGTATGTGTGTGTCCAAACACTGTAAATGCCCATGCCTTTTGTTTGTTTGTTTGTTTGTTTGTTTGTTTTGCTGTTAATGAAGCGATATAAATCAGGGAAGTGTCAGCTAACATATGGTTGTACGTTTTGTGAAAATGTACAGATAATGTTGTATATAACATTTTACTGAGTGTGTCGACACACGTGCTAACTGCTGGTCAGAAGATTAACGATTTATCTAGTTTGTGAAGTGGAAATAATACTGATATGACTGATATCAGATATTATTAATGTATCATTTGTGTTTTAAAGGTTCCCTGTGGAGGTTTCTTGTCAACATTCAGAAATGCGAAACCTGAGTTAATCATATCTAAGGTCTAGTCCACATGTACGCAGGTATTTTATGTTAAAATGGGTTTATTTATCTCATTTTGTTCCCCCCCAAAAAATCTTCATCCACACGAAAATGCAAAAGCTAATCGTGATTCCACCAACAATGGCACCAAGAGGAAGGACTAAATCATTAGTGTGGACTGATTCTGATGTCGTTGTTGTTAAAGTGGAAGAGTTTCTTCACATTTGTGAGTAAACGTGTTAAACAATCCTGTTCACCCTTTGTCCACATCAGCCATTACAAAAAATCAGCGTGTCGGGGCGCCGCTATAGCTCACCTGGTTGATCTGGCATCCGATGCACAGGGGCTAAAGTCCCCGACACAGTGGTGGTGAGTTCGAGTCCGGCTCATGACTGTTTGCTGCAGGTTTTTCCCTTGTTCTCCTACTTTCGTGTCTCCCTCTCTCTGGCCTGTCTAATAAAGCCAAAAAAGGCCAAAAAAATACAGTAGACGGATTTTCAAACAACCTTAATCGTGGAAGAAGTTTAACAAAAAGCTGCGTTTTTAGTGGACAAAAAGCCAAAGTGTATAGAAAAATCACCATTTTAAAAACATAACCGTGTGCATGTGGACTGAACCTAAATTTACTAGCAAGCTGTCTTCTTCCTTCCTGCCTTTGCTGGCACATTGAAACCACCTGTTGGATGGTGAATCACAGGAAAACGGCTCCACAGGACTATTAGAGTTCACAATCTCCACAGGTTACCTTTAAACGAGGCTTTAGAGGTTTTATAACAGCAGGACGTCTGAGAGATTGATGGATTGAGGTCTTTAAGTATCATTTTCTTCTGTCGGATGAAGACATCCGCCATCTCCTCATGAATACAGGGTATTAGTCAAACCTGCGAATTAGATATTTAATGCAACTCATGATTGGTATATCTTCCTATGAAACTGCTGTATGATAATCATGGACACACGCTGAAGAGCTAACCTGTCGTTCAGCTGATTAAGCAGGCTGCTGCTGTGTAAATGCGTGCTTAGCGCTGCAGGTAGGCAGCTGACGTCCGACTTTATTGTGTGTGTGTGTGTGCAGATATCGATGTCTGTGTAGGTTCTCAGTCCTTCAGGCCATTGTAATAGTAGAAGTGGACTTTATTCTGGTTCTGCTCTGAACTCAGAGGCTCTGGTTGTGAGTCGGCAGTAACAATATACATCTGGGACTCCCCCCGCCAGTCATTTAGAACTGAAGAAGCCTCTTAGATGAGAGTCAGACGTCTTTTAGATGAAGTCCAGCTGCCTTCTACTGAAGCTCTTGCTGGTGCAGATATTGATCTTGAGTGTGATGTGCTGTAGGAACTTATCAGCAGAATACAATATTAATAACAAACAGTAGATTGTTGCAGAAGCTTTAGCTGTTAACGGACCATCAGTCGCAGGTTGTTTCCAAAATAAAAGTTTAGACGGTAAGATTAGGAGGTTAAATGTCACATTGTGGCAGGTGGATGTTTAAAACAGTCGTGAGTGTGTGTGTGTGTGTGTGTGTGTGTGAGGCGTCGCTTACGCTCAGCTGTAAGCTCGTGTGCTGACATGTTTTTTTGTGAAGCCGACTGCGTTATGCTGTTTAGTTAGAGGAGCTTGAAAATGTAAAATGCAAAAATGGCCTTTGTTGTTTTATAATAAATTGAAATGCTCTTTTCACAACTGCTTGCGTTTTCTCTGCTTATTTCGTTGGCTGGACACAGAACATACGCGACTCAAGCAGCTCGCCATGGATGTTGAAGGTCAAAAGGTGCCGATAACGGGATAAATGAATGACACTTTTCAGGTTTTAGTGATGGCTTATAATTTCATGCTTTTATTTTCTAACAGCGTTGAGGATTAAACACAAAACAGTGGACTTTATTTAGAAAAATCTACATTTTTGCTTCTATTACTTTGACACAAACACACTTTTGTCGTCAACTGCTCTATAATGTGACTGTTTCTAATAATGATCAGAGCAGTTCAGCTTGGAGTTGAAAATACAGCGATCACGTTTGAAGCATTTGACGTTTTCAACATGAAGTGAGCTCCAGAGTTCAGCCACCGTCTCCGAGCAGAGCAGGACTCCTGTCTCTAATGGAAGTCTTGTCTCCGCTTCCTCGGGGATCAAACCTGTGACCTTTCCATTACGGGAGCGTCGCACCCACCGCCCCCTCTCCCCTCCGCCGCCTCTCGTCTCCTTCGCTCTCTCGGCCGGTCATCGCGTGCTCGCTCGCTCCTTAAATTGATTGCGGCTGCGGTGCATTGTGGTCTGATTGCTCGGTGTGATCCCTGGACAGCGCCCCGGACGCTCGCGCTGCACTTCTCTGCTACAGCAGTAAGCACTCTGTCACTTTCACTGATGATCCATGAGACATAAACACACACAAACACACACACACATCCACATTTGGTGTCTCTCACACACAAATGAAGATTTATCTAAGAACCCGGCTCCTGTAACCACGAGGTGTCACCACATTCCTGCTTCATATCACTGGATGTAGTAAGGGTTCGTATGTTTTAGTAAAATTAAGTTGAGAATTACTCTCACCTGTTGTTATGTTAATGTAAATTTGAACAACTGTTACTGTACTGGACAGTTTATGCAATAGAAATGATGCTATGACATTTGGGTTTAATTAGATTTGACTTCTTAAAGCAGAACTTTTTAGTGATTAAGCACACTTAAACTGATTATTATTTCATTACAGCATATATAGAGGATCGGGTGATCTTAACAGAGTTTTTAATTTAGCTGTTTAGTTTCTCTTCTTGCTATTTCAGTGTTCAGTGTTGTCTGAATGACCACAAGAAGCCTCAAGGTGACTTTAGACACAAAGTAAAGTGAGTTTTTGTTGCACCACTGGCCCAAGTTTGAATGCTGTGTTTAATCACACCAAAAAGTCCATGTACCGTAATTTCCAGAGTATTGAGTGCACCTGAATATAAGCTGCACCCACTAACTTTAAAAAGAAAACAAGTTTTGTGCATATACAGGCCGCACTTGTCTATAAGCTGCAGGTGTCCACGTTGTAACATGAGGTATTTACACAGAAAGATTGTTTAAACCTTTAATTAAATCCGTACCGGTAACATACACAATACGTACCGTAAATACTTTTTCCTGAACAGTGCCTGTAACACGGCTGGTTAATAAAATAAAAGATACTGCAGCCTATCAGGAAAAGTCATTGATCGCTATCTTCATCTTCCTCCTGCACACTAAAACCACTAAAGTCGTCTTCTTCAGTGTCGGAGTTGAACAGCTTCAGAATTACTTCGTCACACACTTCATCTCGAGGCAAATTCGTAAAAATCCATAAATTAGCAAATCATTGTTTAAGCCGCAGCATTCAGAGTGTTTGAAAAAAGTAGCAGGTTGTAGTCCAGAATTTATGGTACCTACTGCATGTTTGCCACTGGAGGCTGATTAACCCAGAGAAGAGGGGCTACTTTTTTAACATCCATCCATCCATTATGGGGGGCTGGAGTCTATCCCAGCTGACTCAGGGTGAAGGCAGGAGACACCCTGGACAGGTCACCAGTCTATCACAGGGCTACACTTAGAGACAGACAACCAAGCACACTCACATTCACACCTACGGACAATTTAGAATCACCAATTAACCTCAACATGTTTTTGGACAGTGTGGGAGGAAGCCGGAGAACCAGGAGAGAACCCACGCTGCACGGGGAGAACATGCAAATTCCACATAGAAAGATCCCGGGTGTCCTCACCGGGGCGTAAACCGGCGACCTTCTAGCTGCGAGGCAACGATGCTAACCACTGCTCCACCTTGCAGCCCTACTTTTAACATGTTAAACATATATTCTTTATGGCTTTAAAGGTCCTATATTGTCCCCATAAAGTCTCACGTGTCCCCAGACGGTACCTTTCAGTTTTTCAGCTCAAAACACTGCCAGAATGCTTCATTTTGTAACTGTATAACTCCTGATTGTACGCCAGTTTTAAATAAGTAATGTTAAATGTGGCTGAGCGGTTGTTGTCCACGCCTCCTTCAGGAAGACGACTCTGCATCTGTGATTGAACCGACTGAGACGTAAATGAGTGTGTGAGACTAGGACTTTCTATTGCTTCTAACCTTCTCTCTGAGCCATCATTTTACACAGAAACATCTCCAGATTCACATCACAGCTGGGAAGTGGCTCTGGAGTGACTGCTGCTTAACTTGTGCTCCTGATTGGCTGCATTTCAGTCACTGTTTTATACTCGTTTCATTGTTTGACGACAGAACCTGAAAACTATGTAAATGAAAACAGCTTTATCAGGAATTTAGGTGTCTTAAAATACAGTACATGTGAGCACAGAGAGCAGGAGAGAAGCTAACTGACCGAGCTCAGGTTTCACTGAAGCACAGCAGGTGATGTGAAAATACAGTAACCCACCCAGTCCTGGTTTACTGGTTTCACATCATCCACCAAATCTGAGTGTCTCCTGGCTTTACTGCTTCCACTCTCGTAGCCAGAGGTGTTACTAATGACAGAAGGTTCCGTTCTAATGAGGTGCAGAGTGTTAATTAATGTGATTAGTAACACCTTCATTTATCTGCTTGTCAATGTGAAAATAACTGCTGTGGGGAGAAAAAAAAAGTCTATGGACAAGTTAAACAAGTGTTCCTGCTGGTGTTCGTGTTCGGTCCCGCTTCTGACTGAAAGTTTTTGCTTTTATTCTCCAGCAGATTACTCGCAGTCAAAATCAAATAGCTCAGCCGGTTCATCCAGCATCAGCCTCACGGAAAATACAGCAGCCGTGGATGACGTCATACGGTCCTGCTTTGCTCGGGAATACGGAGCAGACGGTTTCCACAACGTGATAAATGCTCCTCAACTAAAATAATATCCTAATAGGATAACACTGTTAGGGCGGTATAATCACCGTTAATCTGAAGCTGCAGGCTGGCATTTCATTTTCAAAGTGTCTTGTTGCTGCTAACGATACAGTTCTCATGCACTTCACTTCTATTCTGAGGCGTTAATGTCACTTTGGATTTACTGTTTTCATTGATTTGTGGACGAGAAATAGAAAATGGAAATCACATAAAGAGACAAAATGAGTTCCTACTTCGTTCCAATTGATGAAAAAATGATGAAAATTGGGCCCATTTTCTTGTTTTGTTTTCGTCATCTGACAGTAAACTGGGTGATGCTTCAGACCGATAAAACATGCAAGCAGCAGTCACCACACCAGCCGGAGAAATCAATCGTCGACCTCGTGACCTCTGAGTTTTGAGCGTTACCTCCGCCGCCGCTGATTTTCCAAACTTGATGCTGAATTTGAACGTGTCACAGGCAGCGGTAACTAAGCGCGGCATCGATTAGTCAAACAGCCAATTCACTCAACCGCTTGATTTACTTCCTTAAACCGAAAGCTGAAAATCCTCAGCGTGTAATTCCCGCAGGTTTTCCCGCCCAACAACATCCTTCTAAATGAAACTGTAATTACTTTTCAAACATCTAGAAGGTGGTCGATCCAGGAACATGAAGTGTATCTAGAAGAATCTCTGTGTTGTTGGTGGAGTGTGCATTGATTTCCCCCGGCTCCTTCCGACGTTGGGCTCAACAGCGCGCTCTCGCCGCAATCGACAGTCAGCTGGAGGCCGTACCTGGAGATCGATCGCTCGGGACTCACCTGCCTCTGGTCCACCTGACACGGGGATCAAAAGGAAGGCGGCTCGATGCGTCAGTCGATAGTATGGACTGACTAACTGGACAATTGACCCACTGATAACTCCCCCAGTCTGCAGACGCTCTGCACAAACAGTTATGACAAAAAAAAAATGAAGTCTTTTCATCTTGCTGGAGCCTCTGCTGAATGGCTTCTCCTCTCTGATTGCTTCACGTGTGACCTTGAGTGATGCAAAACACCTTTACATTATTGGAACGTCCGTCTGTGAAGATGTAGTCATTTCCTCGACCACTGGAGAGCACATGGGGGAAATTACCTCTAAGCTTTTCATTTCCAAAGAATACGTTCGACTGTCCGCCTGCGTGGGAGAGAAAGCGAACAAGAGAAGAATCAAATATTGTGAATGACGTCTCTGCTCCTGCCGCACCTACGTGACAGCTCATAGTTTTCAACCTCTGTGATTGCACTCACACAGGTGCCTATTAACTAAACATGGATTTCTATGGTGAGACAAAAAAGGGTAAAATTACAGGACGACTATAATAGCTTTCCATTATGCAGCCCCATCGTACGCACCTCCTTCTTGGACATTTTTGTGTGCAGCTCTGTCTCAAAGATGGGTTGGTATCAGGGTTAAAGTTGCCTTTTTTTTAAGAGCTGTTTCATATATTTCACCGTGGCAGTTACCGTCGGACCTGCCTCTCGCTTAAATACAGTCATTTAAATGTCATTCAAGCAATAGTTCCATTTGGTGTGCATGTGTAAAACACTGGCTTTTTATCCAAATCAGTGCATAATTGAAAATGTTGCTGTGTGTAAATGTGCTTTTCCATTGTGGTGTATTTTGAGCTGTGAAGGAGTCGATGTCCTCGGCCGCAGATAGTTTAAAAGACTGTATTGACCTTGACGGAGAGTTCACCATGTTACAGCATCATAATTACAAAGTAGAAAATAAATTGCAGATCTAAAGTTGCTTCGTTTAATAGAGATTTAACCTGCGATGATGCTTATTTGGATATAAGACATG